CGATTCGAAGATAGCCTTGTCGCCAAGGGCAATTTGCTCACGGCGCAGATCAAAGGCCTTGAAGAGAATCTTCGTAAGGACGCCGATGTTCTTAGCAATGGTCGACTTGGGGTGCTTGTCAACGGCAATTGTGACGACCTCCAAAAGTTCGTTCACAGCAATGGGGCCAGCCTGGACGGCGTTCTGCCAATTGCGATCGACGGCGCCGAGAGTGGCACCGACATCCACCTTGCGGGCCATCAACCGCATGGACTCCTGGCGACTCTCATCACTGCTCTCCTCGATGTCCGCATTAGCAGACTTGAAGGAAAGGAGGAGCATCTTGTCCAAATGACCAGCTGAGATCATGAATGGCAGGTGAACAAAGAGGGCGGAGAAGAGGGTAAAGACGGCGTCGTGAAGTCGCGAGTTCTCCTTGCCAGAAACCAGACTCAACTCGAGCAATTCCAAAGAACGTTTGAGGGTATCCGGAAGGGCGGGAATCATAGCTTGACCCAGCACCTCGGCCATAGAAGCCAGGCACAGGATACCCATGTATCGAATGCGGTCATCAGATTGGCCAAGGCAAGATTCACTGGCAACGACTCTAGCGGCAGCAATGACCTTGGACGGGTCCTTACGGCCATACTTGTCGGTGATGCGGTCAATGCACGAAACAGCAGCATGCTTGAGCAGGATATCCGGAGACGACTCGACAATGCCAACCAGAGTGGGCAGGAAATCGAGAACACGGATCTGCGACAAGTTGTCGCGCTCGGGGTTCTGGCGGAGGCGGGTTTCGAGCAAACGAAGGACCTTGCGCCGAAGCTCGTCATTGGGACCCTGGAGGAGAACCTCAATAGTATCCAAGAAGTCGACAAGAGACAGAGTGCTGAACAGAGCACCGAGGACTTCGCCACAAGCCTGGTTGACGGGCTTCATGCTCTGCACAGCCTCGCCGATGCTCAGTACCTGGGTCAGAACCCGGGAGAAGCAAGCACGGGACTGATCAGCAACTTCGTCGTCCGCCTCGAAGGCTGTCTCAAGCTTAGACTTGAGAGAAGAGTGCTTGAACAAGTGAGCAAGATCACGCAGGAGATCAACGCAGATGCTCTGGGCGTCGCGTCCATCGTCACTGCCAATTCCAAGAAGGACCTGGGAGATACCTGGCTTGGGCTTGAGAGAGTCGCTGACCAAGTTCAAGTACTTGCTGTAGGTGGTAAGCTCCACGACAGGCGTGGTGTCTGAGACCAGACCAGTCATCAGAGTGAGGACATCCTTGTCGGTGGAGTATCGGTTAGCGAGCATTGCTAGGACCGCGAACAAGAATTCTTGTGTTCCAAGCTTGCTGATCAATGCGTGGAAGAGTCTCAAACGGCGATGCGAGGGGATGTGCTCGAAGGCCGCAGTGAAGCTGAGTAGCAACTCGGAAGTTCCGGAGACAACATCCCTCTTCTGGTTACGCAGAGATTGGATAAGGGCAGGGACAACTTGGTCGATGGTCTGGTCAATGACCGAAACGGAGTAGTCATCATCCTTGCGCAGAACAGTAGTGCCCATGAATGTGAAGATCGGCATGACGCTGTGGAGAACCAACTCGGGCGCAATGACAGACAGGCTTCCTACGAGAAGAAGAGCCCCGTTCTGAACCTGCGGGCTGTCAGTTGTTCGCACACAGTCCACCACCAGGTCGGCCCTGATGACGGATGTATCGAACTGCGGCTTAGCAGATCCTTTGGATGTGTTGACAATAGCCAAGAGACTTCCCAGAGTCAGGCTGAGGAGATAGCTCATGCCAGACTGGATCTGCGACTTGAAGTGGTGAAGAGCAGCGAGAGTCTGGAACAATCCATCGACAAGCTCAGGGTGAGTTTCGGGGGAGGAGCTGTCCACGATCTCCAAGATGAAAGTCATCTTGTCCATCAACTTGCTAAGCTCTGCCTCATCCTTGACAGTCATGGCAATCATGTTGTTCTGGCTAGTACGTCTCCGCTTCGGTGCAGGACCGACAGACTCAACGTCGGTAATAGAGACAGGAATCTTTTGCACGAATTGCTGCAGCACAGCACCGGAAAGTTCGATGCTGCGAAGAACATCTCGGCAGTTGTTTGCCAGAGAAGCGGTATTATTGGCCGAACCACCAAGGGAGATATCGAGCAACTTCTCGGATGCGGCCAACTGACGGTCTGCGGGGATTTTAGCCCAGATGTGTTTGATCTGGCCAAAGCAAGCCGCAACAAAGGACGGGCGCAAGTTATCGCCCGAGCTGACATTGGAGAGAAGGACATCGACGGCGTCCTTGTCTTTGGATGTGACAATAGCAGCAATCAAATGCTCTGTCTCGGATGCCACAATGCGCTCCTTGCCGCAAATTTCCTCGACTTGCTTCTCGTTCAAGCGACGCCAATCCTCGAGGACCGGGAGAAGTTCACCGGTCAGGGTTGCAGTAGAGACCTTCTCCACGCGATTGACCAACTTAAGCAGGCTAATCTTGGGTGCGAAAACTGGCATCTTGACAACGTGAGAGCAGATGAAAGTAAAGAGGCTAAGACGGAGAGACTTCTTAAGTTCGGTTGCACCCGAAGCTTCAGACAGCACATTGCCCCGTAGAGTAGCTTCAACAGTTCGACCAACATGGTTAGAGTCAAGGATAGACTCCTCCAATCCTGGAAGCAATGCGCGCTCCAACACCTTTTGGGAGTCCTTGGTGGTGAGCCATGCAACACCAGTAGATTGCTTGCCCTTGCCGTAGATCGCGTCGTGGGCCCATGGCTTTGAGCTGTCACTGGAATTGGTGTTCTTTTTGTACAAAGAACCGATAATAGCCAAAACGCCAGCAGTCTCACGGCGAATCCGCTCGGAAGGATCAGAGAGCGCCACGAACAAGAATGGAAGCAGTGCCTGGGGATCAAAGCCTGCGGGTGCTGATGAAAGAACAGATGATATGACGTTCAAAGCAGCAATTTTTGTTCCAATGGGGTAGTGGCCAGCAACAACTCTGATAAAGAAGGACAAATATTGAGGGGCCTTGGTTGCCTGAGACTTGCCCAAGATTGGCAAGTTGGTGAAAAGCTCGATGTTCTCCTCAGAGTCCACCGCCAAGGCGAAAACGCGTACCAGGTTATCGAATTCGATGATAGACTGTTTGGAGAGGAACGAGGATGGGAACAAGGGCTCTTTGGTCAAAGACTCCAGGGCTGGAGTAAAGGCGTCCACCTGGGGCTCATCGTCCGCATCGATCATATCCACATCCTCGATGGCCTGTGCTACAACGGGGGCCTCAACAACGGTTTGAAGGTTGTGTTCCAGCGCCGAGATGTTGAACGAAGACCCAGTCAAAGTCTTCTGGAAAATGGGCTGCAGGGTTTCCGACCGGTTAAATCCTTGAACCAGCTCGGCAAGCTGGGTCTGGGCATCCAAAGACATTCGGCGGGTCTCATCTGCATTGGAAGCTGCTTCGAGAACCAGGCTCATAGCCTTGGCAATCTCGTTCTCGCCAAGCATCTTGCGTTCAAAGATGGAGGCCAGAATTGCAAGGCGAGTGTTGTCCTGCTTGTCAAGATCAGTCAAGCAGCCGGCAATGATACCAAGCAACAAGTTAGATGTGTGATATTGCGGCGCGATTTCAGAAAGTTGACCGATAGGGTTTTCGAGGCGCAAGATGCCCTTCAAAACCTTTTTCGGGATTGTAACAGAGGGCTTCTGCTGTGCAAGGACTGAAAGACAAATCAGACCAGATATCTTCGTATCTTCTGTCCATGAACCCACAACACTCTCCATTAGACCCTCAATAACTTCATTCGAGAGGAACGCCTTCTGTGCCAGTACGACACAAATCATATAGCAGCCGACGATCAATTCCGAGACCTTTTTCATTGTAAAAGCGTTGCTCAGTACCGGCAAAATCCGCAAAAGGATATCTTCATGCTTTTGCTTCTCGGCCTCTCTTCTTCCTGACCGAGCGCCATCCAACATTGTGGCGACAGCCTCCGTAACAATTCCAGCCCAAAATGCAAGTAGTGCATGGCTTTGGGCCTGCTGCCTGCACACTTTCAGGACGTATTCGTTTAATTCAGAGAAGAAAGCCTTATTAGTCGCTGCGCTGTGAACAAGCGGGTGCCTTGGCGGATTAATGAGGCCATTCTTGTATGGAGTGAGGACTTTGAATGTTGGCGTAAGAGTTGCCGGAAGGATAGATAGAAGGTTCAAAAAGAGAGGCGTCGTGTGATACGGCAAGAACGTCAATAATACAACTGTTGTATTGAACTCGTGGATCCTGCCATAAAAGTTAGCCACCATATCTCACTTCTCACGATCTGCACCACCCCTCGCCAGTTTTTCTCACCTGAACCTTCTCACAAGCCAATCCACAGCTTTGACCGCAGGACTCAACTGTAGCCTCCCGCCAACCAGAGCCAGGAAAGCTTCAACCACAGTATCCAATTCCTTATTCTGAGATAGGTTCATCTGACTGCGGTCCTCTGATTTGCTCTGCTCGCTGAAGATCGTGCGATCAAACTCTGCAAACCGGGGGTCCAATGAGCACAACTCCCGGAACCCGTCATAACAAATATCATAGATCGCATCAAAGTCTTGAGTGCCGGCGACCTTTGGGTCAAAAATAAGTGACTGTGAGTGTGAAATCCTTTGCGCCTTAAGGTCAAGCTCGTGTGTCGACTTGGCCGCAATTTGCGACAGCTGCGCGGCGAGAGACGAAGCCATGGTGAAGTCTCTTTTGGCGGGCTGTTCCGCTGACTTTTCTTTGTTGTTTTGTATTGATTCTCACACAATTGCGCAGTGACCCATATCCCAAGACCCTTGACAGTAGTCTTTCTTTTTCTTTGCAGAACCGAAGGGCAGGCGGGTTCAAATAATTTGAGGTAAGTCTTAAGCTTCTGTTTGACCGAGAGCAAACGGTTGACTTTTTTTTTTTGCCGGCCAGCTCGACCGCCCATCGGAGAATCATTCTTCCGTGTTATCAGCCCGCCGCTCGACTCGATAAGGAAGATCGAGCCACCACGATGGACTCACCTGGGTCTCAGGTTAGTTAGCCCTCACTTACAGCTTGGTAGATATTTGACTGACCAAAATAAAGGGTGTCCCACAATTCTCCAGCTTCCGACCCCCAGCCACTGCTACCAGCTCGGAACATGAACATCGCCGGCGTCGCCCAGACCATCGTCAGCGCGCAGATCGGAAAGAGTCTCCGCGATCCCGTCGCCATGAAAGGCGCTCAGATGGTGGTCGCCGAGAGGCGACAGGTAGAGAAATAAAGGAGCGTGTGAGTGGGGAAAGAATTGACGATGTAAACGCTGCAAACGATGAGGCAAACAAAGGATTTGTCGTCGACAGCCGCGGCGACCGAGACAGTACACGTTACGGCGTGGATCGTTACGAGGTCCCTGCATACCATCGCAATGGCAATGGTTTTGTACTTGGGCTCCCTAACCAGCGCATTGATTACAAAACGCGATATGACCAGGGTCCTCTTCTCCTTCTTCGCCCCGACTCAGGCTTCTCTGCAACTTCTACAGCCAAGCCTCTCTCTGCCGAAACCCTATCTGCTTTGTCCGTCAATCTTCCCACTCGCCTCAAGTCTGATCTTAATGCCAAACTTGCTGCTCAGACCCAACATTCACAAAATTTTATCTCAACAACGGTCTCATCTCAACCCAGTGCTGCGGAAACCGCCAACTTGGACAATGAACCACCGTCCTATCGCTCCATCGACGACCCGTCCAAGTCCGAAGAAGTCACTGAGGAGTTTGATGCAAACGCCTTCACTAGAATTGCTCTTGAAGCTGAAATCTTGAAACGCAATGCTAGGTTGAACAGCGCAGTGGCACAACAGCCTAATGACATCCAAGCATGGATCCGTCTTGCCGAGCATCAGGAAATCGCTATAACTGGCGCTAGATCTGGTGACCGGAAGTCCCACCACGATGATATCCAAGTTGTGGCAAGAGCCAAGCTGTATGTGTATGAAAGAGCGATCAACGCCAACGCACAGAATCCCGAACGCGACCACCTGTTGCTGGGCCGTATGGAAGAGGGTGCGAAAGTCTGGGATGCAACAAAACTCGCATTGGAATGGGACGCAGTCCTCCGGCGCCACTCTGAGTTCATCAGTTTATGGATTCAGTATCTCGACTACTGTCAGACTGACAGTCAGGATTTCAACTTTGACAGTTGCTTCAAGACTTACACCTACTGCTTGAGGATCCATTCACGTGTTGGCTTCGGACCACAGAAAACCTTTATCAGATCATACTTGCTGCTCCGTTTGACACTGTTTCTTCGAGAATCTGGGCATGTAGAGCTAGCTGTCGGTCTATGGCAAGCAGTGCTCGAATTCACATGCTTCCGTCCAGCCCATCTAATGGAGAAGAAAGACGAGGCCCTAGTGGAATTCAAGAAGTTCTGGGCAACTGGGCGTATTCGAATTGGAGAGCACGGTTGGCAACCCTGGAACAGTGCACAAACCCCCGTGCCCCTGTCAACGAACGTGTTGACGCTTCTGAGGCGGATATCCGAGACTTGTTCCCAACATGGGCATTTGCAGAAAGAGCGAAGATGTTTAAAAATCGCATGCCGTCACACACCTTTGATGAATCCAGAGAGAATGACTCTTTCCGAGTGGTCCTTCTTGAAGATTGCACGCAGATACTGCCGTACTTCTGTGACTTGGAGCAAAGCCTGGGTCCCCTAGTTGATGGCTTCTTGTATTTCTGCCATTTGCCCCACTTGACCCTACCTGCGAGCATGCACACCAGCCGACTGTGGACTGGCGATAATTTCCTGCGAAACGAATACATGGATGATCCTCGCAACACAATCGCGGACTGGATCACCTTTCATAAACATGCCGCAACCACAACCCTGGAACCTTTCGCATTCCCTCACCATACCTTCATACACACCACCGATACTCTTTTTGCCGACCCAAAGATGTGGTTCTCGGCTCTGACGAAGTGGGCTAAAACCACCTCCCATTCTTCCTGTGTCATCGATCCCAACTTTGTACTCTTGACTCTCCATGCCCTTGCCGATGTGTTCAGAGACAGTCAATTTGCTGAATACGCTATTGCAGTAACTTTCGCGTGTGATAATGCTCTTGGCAAGAAATATGCAAAGCGATTGTTGAAGGGGCGATCATCAAACCTGAGACTTTACAATGCATTTGCTCTCATGCATTGGCGGACCGGCGATCTTGACATTGCTCACAATGTGTGGTCCACCGCTTTGTCTATGAGCCAGAACTTTGACGCTCTCGAGCTCACTGACTCTGCACTTTTGTGGAACTCGTGGATTTGGGAAATGCTCCACGCTGGGCAAAAGAATCGAGCGTCATACCTGTTGCAAGCTATGCCGTATAATCGAGTGCACTTGCTATCATACGACACAAGCGATGAAATTGAACTTAATCAAACCAATTTTCTCAGGGTCAAGAAGGTAAGTTTTCATTCGTTAATCTCACTGAGCGCCATGCTAACCATTCACAGTGCTTGTTTACCGCTCAGCAAAATGCATTGAATTTCAAGAAAATGCAAGCGTACGCAGCTTACGTCGACTGCTATGCCATTGTCCTCTATCTCATGGGCGAGCCACTTGAAGACGTCCTCGAAGTCTACAATAATGCCACCACTTCCCTTAGAGTCCTACCCAGGAGCTATGATGATTTCACGGTGTTCGGCGGAGAATTGCTGCACCAATCTCGAGCCCGAATGCTGTACCACTATGTGGAGAAGCAGAGTGGCCAATTCAGACCTGCCGACGTTCGCACGTTGCTACTGGATAGCCTAGAATGGTGGCCTCACAACACCATGTTCTTGTCGCTGTTCAAATGGAACGAGGCTCGGCTTCATATGAGCGACCGAACCCGCGATATCTTCGATGTTACCATCGGAGCGAAAGCCAGGGCCGCTCTGGATCTACGAGGACCTGCCCCAATCTACCGTGTGCCTGTCACAACTCACCTTTTTAGCATCTACGCTGAAATGGGCCGCCCTCTCATGCTCGGCTCGACCCCCCACTCAATTCGGGCGGCATTCGAGCGAGCGATTGGCAATGCCGGAGTCGTCCCAATAGGGCGGACTCCAACACGGAAGAGTCCCTTCGAGCTGGCAAGCTCGACCTCCGCGCAGAGCAACCTCACCATCTGGAGGTTATACATCCTCTACGAACTGTACGCGGACTACAACGTCGGCCGCGCCCGCGAGATCTACTTCCGGGCCCTGCGCTCCTGTCCCTGGTCGAAGGAGCTGTACCTGCTTGCCTTCGAGCACTTGCGGGCGGACTTGACCAACCGCCTGCCCCCCCTGCCGCCTCAACCGGCAGGGGGAGGTCAACCCTTCGGGGTTCGACCCTGAAGAGCTTCGGGCTCTGTACTCAGAGATGCTGCGCCGTGGGCTTCGGGTCCACTACCATGTGGAGGGCTTCTGGGCCAAGTAGGCCCAGAAGGGTGGTGAGAGTTGGGGGTGGGGGAGGGGAGGAAGGGGAGAGAACAGTGGGGAATCCAGATTACCAACAGGTGGAGGGGGTGCTTCTCAGATCCCCTTCGCCTGTATGTGAGAGTAATGTTAAATTTTTCTGAGAAGTGACAATTCTCCACTTCAATGGTGTAGCTGCAGTGAAGTACAAGTAAGACCCCGCCCAAATTCCAACGGCGATTTGGCAACATAGCAGCATATGGAAACTAGCGATGCTGTAAAAATTGTCTGGACGGAGACTGTCAAAGCTACAAAAACCATAGTCCGTGTGTATTGCATGTTGTTCAGACACGAAGGGTTACCAGGACCGGACTTCAGTCCAAACTTCCACCACTTGTCATACTAGAGACTTGGATGAAATGGGATGACACCAATTCCCTTACAAATGCGACGACGGGCATAGTCACTGAAACACCAAGCAGAGAACTCGAGAGAGGCGCTGGGTATTTGGCTTTCTCACGATCTTCTGGCCAGTGTAAAAGTCCACGGCCCTCATTCTAGTCTAGACGTATATATAAAACACGACCATGACTTTACTTAACCATCTTTCTTGGACTATCGAGGTGCCCAAAGCTAGGTGTCAGGCTATGGCAAGCGGTACTTAAGTTCACATATTTTTCACCAATTTGTCTAACAAGAGAGAACATGCCTAATATACTTCAAATAATTATGGATTGAATTCCATGCAGCCACATGGCAGGTAAGTCGGACACAACAGTTATAATAGACCTACTATATAAACAGAGCCAACGTATCAATCAAAATAATCATAAATATCCCTATTGCAGTAATATAATCTATCTTGGTTACGTACAATTACGATGCCTCACTAAAGAAACGATTCTCGGGTCTCGCCAGACCAAAGTGTTCACGCAGGGTCGAGCCCGTATAGTCTTTGCGGAAAAGACCTCTTCGCTGAAGTTCAGGGATCAGTCTATCTGTCACCTCTTCCAGGCCCTGAGGCAAGAACGGGAATGTGAATGTGAAGCCATCAGAAGCCTCTTCACGCAACCACGTCTCCAACTCCTCAGCGATATCACTTGGCGAACCGAGGAATGTCAGCCCCGAGTATCCACCATATCGTTGCGCAAGCTGGCGGATTGTAAGTCCCTCTTTCTTTGCTAGCTTCTCAACAGACTCTCTAGCCGTCTTGCTTGCGTTGGTCTCGGGGAGGTCGTCCGGCAACAAACTATCCGGATCAAGTTCACTGACATCCACCCCAAGCGAGATTGACAAAGAAGCAATGGCACTGTCGTAATGCACCAGACTATCCAACTTAAGTCTCTTCTCCTGCGCATCTTGCTTGCTGTCCCCAACAATAATCATTGCCGCGGGTAAGATCTTCAACTGGTCTCTCTTCCGCCCCGCCTTCTCCACTCGGCCCTTGATATCCGCATAGAGCGCCTTCGCACTCTCAATATCCTTCGGGCTACAAAAGACAACCTCGGCAGTTTCAGCTGCAAGCTGTCGTCCTGGCTCGCTTTGTCCTGCCTGGACAATAACCGGCCACCCCTGCGGTGGCCTAGCAATATTCAACGGCCCGCGAACCTTCAACTCGTCGCCAGCATGGTTCAGCACATGCATTCTGGCAGGATCAAAGTATTCCCCCGTCTCGACATTGCGAGTAAACGCATCATCGGCAAAACTATCCCACAGTCCCGTGACAACATCATAGAATTCACGAGCACGCTTGTACCGATCACCATGAGCCAAATGCTCATCAAAACCGAAATTATGGCTGGACTCCGGGTTTCCGGTAGTCACAATATTCCATGCCGCTCGCCCATTACTCAAGTGATCGAGACTGGCAAATCGCCGGGCAACATGATATGGCGCATCATAGGTCGTACTCGCAGTGGCGGCAAGACCAATCTTCTCCGTTACGGCAGAGAGCGCGGAGAGTAGAGTAAAAGGTTCGAATGAAGTAACCGTATGACTGCGCTTGAGAGCTTCGACGGGCATGTTCAGTACAGCCAGGTGATCAGCCATGAAGAAGGCATCGAACTTGGCGGCCTCTAGCTTTTGAGCGAACTGGGCGATGTGTTTAAAATTGAAGTTGGCGTCAGGATACGAGCCCGGATAACGCCAAGCACCTGTGTGCAGGGAGACTGGCCGCATGAAGGCCGTTAGGTGCAGCTGGCGGTTGGGCTGTGGGTCGGTCATCTTGTGGTTGATTTGGTTGTCTTCCAGGTTATACTTTTTTTTAATCTTGGCAGATCGGATTCATATATAAAGCAATTTGGAATGAGAATAGCTGTGATTCCAGGTTATATACCCCGCTTGACTCGGGTCCACAACTGTTATGGTATTTCCAAGCAGATTTATAAGCCTCGCTCACTTGGATGAGATATGGCGTGCTTAGAGCTACGTATATATAATTGTCGTAGAGTGTGAAGTACAAAACCACCACTTTTCAAACCCACCTATCTTAAGTGTTATAGTATGTCTAGCCATGTTCCCAAGGTTAGGTTAGTTACATTTTCAAATATATCAAGCATAAAAGGTCAACACAGCATTCGGACGTTTAACATTATATCCTAATTAACAACCAATACATACAAGAATTTCTATGGTATTTTCAGTATTCTAGTTATAACAGTATAGAATAAATATGGACATCAATGAGGATCGTGAGGACACAATGAAGATAAAGAAAACAAACATCGTACCTTCCTCAATTAGGACTGACTGAATAGAAGTTGCCTATAAAACCTACCCTCCTTCACTTCCTTCACTTCCTACACCTCCTTCATCTTCTTCATCTTTTTTCCTTCTCCTTCTCCCCTTCAGATCCTAATCTCTTCCTACCTGAACTCATTTTAGTTTTTCAAGTCTATCTATTCCCTCCCTTCCTGGGTAGTCATGGATGTTCCTTGTGAGTTCAGTTGTCTTCCAATGGTGGTATATAACCGACCTCTCTAACGCGTTCCAACCACCTTAAGTCTCTTTTCGTCTTTAGACACGTCTGGCTTTCCGACCCCATTGCGTATCAACGTCGATATTGTTATAACCTGCTCCTGGACTGGTGAGCTACGAACTAGGCCAAAAGGACTACTATATCTGAGTGTTATGCCCAGATAGACCAGGCTCCGATATATGTAGTAACGTAACATGGACGCCAAAGCAGGCAGGTTCCTCCATCCAAGCCATTCAGACTGCGAAATTCCTCTAACCAATCCCCCCAAGAAATAGTTTCCTTTGGCTAAAGTCACGATGCTTCGTTGCAAATCCGCATTGTTCCACGCACTTTTGTCAACTTCTAACCGGGGACACTTGGCAACTATTCCCTTAGATGTTGGCACACCCGCGAAACGGGGATGATGAATCGACGGATATGGAGGTTGGTCAGCATTACGAGAACTTCTGCTGAGCTTGTTGAGCTTGTCTCGGAACTAAATGTCACGAGGCCATTTTTGGTTAATGATTCGCAGAGTTCAGCCCTTACGATCGAGAGTATCCTCTCCCGCAACATTCGAGAATGGATCAGTCTCCGCGACGTTACTACTGTTGGTAGGCATCCTATCAATAGTATATTAACCACCTTATCTCCATTGATATAGAGAGAAGCATGAATGGAAATTAATGTAAGTAGAAAAATCACAGAATGTGCTAAGATGTGCTTACCTTTAAGTCTGTTCCAGTTTATTTCAAGCAAGACTTTCTGATTGAATAGGGCGCTTCCCTGAGCGTTCACAAGGTTCAGGCATCCGACTGGAGAATAATACAGCCTTATATGAGGTGGAATGATATTGTTGCAGACATCAATTTCATCTTTTTCCATCACCGAAAGACGGGGATTTCTCGTCGACACTATGTCACAACATGCCAAAACTATATCCTATATCCCAGCAAAGGATCATGCGAACGTCCATACGTTTTTGAAGAGCGTGAGATTGCACTACTTCCGATAAAAACATCTAACCTTTGATAGACGGGGTTGCCTAAGAGACAAAATTGTCCGACTCATAGATGTCACAGATGTTTTTGTGAGCCTACATACTGTCAACTTTACTGTGTTTTATCTAACTGTCAATTAGCTCCCCGAGGGCCATGTACTCAAGCGAGTATCCTCACTCGACCAGCTCGACAACTGGGGATTTACGACCAAGATCTTCGAAAGGGGGACAAGATGATATACGAGACGCCCAAAGAACAACTATTGAATTGGAAAGCTTCCATAACGGAGCTTAAAGAGTTCGACTGGGGATTAGGAAAGGTCTAGGCTGCCTCAGGCTTTAGGACAGACCAGGTCTCTAGCAGTAAGAGTGGCAAGTACTATCTTCGTACCAACTATGATAAATAGCTAACTATGTATTAATTAGACCACCGACGGCCACATTTTGAACCAGTCCCTATTGCCTAAAGATTTTCCAGAACTTGAAGCTGTGTATTACAGGACAAATATCTGGATACTCTAAAAGGGTACTACAATGCCTTGAAAGAGGCAGAGGTAGAACACGCCTTAATCGATGGCACGGTTGTTGCTGTTGCAACAACTGAGCATTCTGTTATTTCTCGGGAGAGCGATACCTTTTTCGGAAGAAGCGGGGACTCCGGCTCATTAGTCTACACCAAAGACAGTCACGCCGTGGGTTGGCTTATGTTTTGGAGGTCGCCTACGTCCGCTGTGTAGTGCTTCGTTCGTGCACATCGATGAGGTTATCGAAGACATCAAGCACATCACCGGGGCAACTGGTATTTGATTGCGAGAAATCTGATAGGTCCTAGTTTATGCTACTAGTTGCCTGCTGTTGTTTTGCTTCGCTTTGGTTATAGAGACGAAAAGAGATTCTGCCTTGCTCTCATTTAGAATTGGGTAGCTTGGTTCGTACTGTTGTAAAAAGCTCATGGCAGCTTGTCGGTTGCTTAGACTTTCCTAAGTCAAAAGGAAATTTAGAACATGACTAGTGCTCAGGTCCATGGCTTTCTATGGTGGCTCGCTTGGGGGGAGGCGGACTTGGAGCATTGGTGTTTAACCGCGATACAGTAAAAGCGAGAATCTCGAAGAGTTTGTTGGAGTTTCATTGATTTGGATTTCATGGCTCTCTAGGATATTACCTACACAATTATGTAAAGAAATGTCCATTAGAGCGTATGCTCGGTATCCCACCTGTCTCCGCATATTCGAGACATTCTATTTCGCAAGTTACGCGTGCTTTATCGGCTAACGATTTTGTATGCTTAACTGACACCCACCAGTCCCGAAGTTTCGGAATAAACTGTACAAATTCATCAATAGATGGGTCCATCATCCTCATAAACTTCATCGCGGCGCACTAGCTATCTTAAAACATGCAAAAGCGGCAACAGCCAGTGACACCGCGCTCAAAAATGCATCCGCACCAGTCCCGATACGACTCGAGAGTAAGTCATCGTTTACCGTATCGCGCGGTATTAGATTGAACGTTGTTGAAATTGCCGACCATCCTGCAATCGCCGGAGCAACCAATGTATCAGCCATTCCAAAGAAATACTCGAATGGAAGTTTTGAAGTCGACGACAGGGCGAACGTTAAAGTGAGAGAGTACAACTCTAGAAGGCGATGCCGGCGTCCAGATCCAAAACACGGCAATGTCAAGAGAACGAATCTATAGCATGCATGTGCAAATATCCACGATTTGCTGACGGCAGTGAAGACGAACAAGTTATCGTGAACCATGACAGTCTTCCATCCAACGCGGCGTCCTGTTTGGACGATCCAAACGAAGAGGGCAACACAAGCGATTTTGCTGCACATTCCCCGAAGGGTGCCGCCTGTGGGAGTCCCGACCATCATGCCAATGTTTGCGTACACCGCAAAGTTAACATAGGTCGTAAAGGCGGGTAGAAACCTTCTCTGCAAAGACCGATCCGCGACTAGGAACGCTAGGACAGAGCCTAGGCCCAAGGGAAGCAAACACATGGTTTTGGTCATTTCGCCGAGAGTAGCCGTTGTATTAAATACAAAGATAGTCGCGCTGACCCCAAGAACGATGAGCAAAAGTAGGCCCGGGCTTCGAAGAGCGCACCCATAGGTGAGGATGAGGATGATGGTAAGCCATACGTTGAATGGGATATCAACGTATGGTTCAAATGCCGTAAGTAGTAGTGAGAAAGCCATGAGATGAGCTACGTAGTTCTATCCGGAGCTTTGACTTGAGCTTCCCCAGCTGTCGTGCGGCCCACGCCTAATCGCGCTCTCGGTAGCTTGAGATAGCCAGTTGGATTTTCCAAAAGGTGGGGATAATTCAACCCAAGAGGAGTTTACTGAGATGCGAGGAAACCCGAAATTGGCTATGTCCGAAGGAGAAATGGAAAACAGGATGAAATATTCTTGGATTCTGACCCAATCGGTCACGATCATCGACTTCGGAGAATCGTTTTTACGTACTACAGTTCCACAATTTACATACTTACACAAATGGAAATAATTGTTAGAATGTAGGATATCCCTAAAAAATACGATTCCTAGTAGTTCAGACTTGCTACAACCGACTCGGGATTCTATAAGACCCGGTAAAATTCAAAGAAAAGCAAATACAGAAAACATATTCCCGTAGCGGCTAATGAGCAAAGTGATACGGAGATAGGCTATAGCAAGCTATCTTTTATAGATCTCCTTCTAGATATCTTTTAAAATGTCTTTTAAATGTTATTTAAGTCTATTCTGAGAGCTTCTTACAATGATTGATCGTAGATTACCTAGGTATAGTATACGACCTGTACAATGCACACATATTTCATACAAAATGGCGTTTCTACGCATAGCAAGTCACTGAAATGAGGATTAAACCTACCGTTTAGCTGAGCTAAGAGATAGGTAAGAGGGGAAACAAGAAGGAGAGAACAAGAAGAAACGGCGCATCCATGGCATTCCAAAGGACTAATCCACCTCACAACAAACGTACTCTGGTTGCCCCGGTTGTATTTTTGATGTTATGGATCAAATCGTCAATGTGTGTAAACGAAGCACTGCACGGTGGACGTGGGCGACCTGCAAAAAACAAGCCAACCACGACGTGGCTGTCGTTGGTATAGACCAATGACCCCGAGTCCCCGCTCCTTCCGAAAAAGGTATCGCTCTCCCGAGCAATAACTGAATGCTCAGTTGTTGTAACAGCAACAACCGTGCCGTCGATTAAGGAGTGTTCTACCTCTGCCTCTTTCAAGGAGTTGTAGTACCCTTCAGAGTATCCAGATCTTTGCCCTGTAATACACAGCTTCAAGTTCTGAAAACTTTTAGGTAATGGTGATCGGTTCAAAACATGGCCATCGGGGGTCTAATTAGTACGTAGTTAGCCATTTATCATAGTAGTAGGTATTTTAGGTGATCGACTCACGATATTACGCCCCACCCTTTCACGAGGAATCTCGATCAATGCCCAATCATAGTTGGTAGGAAGACAATTCTTACCATTGTCAATGCTGGGGGCCTGGCCTGTCCTAAAGCCTGAGGCGGCCCAGACCTTTCCGAACCCTGGGTTGAAAACCTTAATCTCTTGGATGGAAGATCTGCAGTCCAACAGTTGTTGTTTGGCTGTCTCATACATCATCTTGGCACCTTTTCCAAGATCTTGGTCGTTTGTAACAAGCCCATCCCAAAGCATGTAAGTTGGATTTTGAATATCGGCAACCTCTTTCTCCAATGCTCGAATCTTTTCTTGAACCACACGACGGCTTGGGTGGTCAACCTTTAGATGCTTTGCCATTGGGTCGTTGGGCTTAATTCCTTCCTCGCGCCATTTTCTTATTACGAGCTTAGCCTGATCACTCTTCCCCTCCTCCGTCGGGTTGATCACATGAAAACAAGTAATCCCCATGATCTTTGGCTCCGGAGTACCAGGAAGTGTAACCTCAAAGAAGCCACCGAATGTGCCAGAAGCGCTTGCATTCTCCTTAAGAGCCAGGCTTTGCCCTGGCATTGACGGAAGCCGAACGACGTCCGGGTGAAACACACCTCCGCATTCCACAGTGTCACGCTTGGGTTTAGGCTCATCTTCTTCTGAATCAGGGTCGGATGCATGCCTGTGGAAGTGGCCTTCTAAAAATTTAACCTCGACCTCCGCCACTTTGTGCTTCTTGAGAATGTCGGCGATGATGCTGCGGGCTGGCTGGGATGACTTGGAGTATTTGGCATGATTGCCAAAAATGAAGATCGTTGGGCGTCCTTTCTGTGTGTTGCCTCTTCTACCCACACGGTAACATCCGTTCGTGGATACATACTTGAGGTCGATCCTTTTCACAATCTCATCTCTGACTCGATCCCACTTGGTGAAGATTGCATCTTCGCGCTGGCAAGAGCGGACGGTGATCTCGCTCCACACGTATTGGTGGTCATCTGGTCTCTTGCTTCGACGATGGGAAGTCGCCATATTGAAAGGAGTAGATTGTTGAAAGTGGTCCAATGGAGGAAGTGATGATATTGCTCGAGAGGTACGTGATGGAGTTTAGAAAGAGAAACAGACGAGATACCCGGTTGGGGAGAGACTTTAGACTTGAAAGATTGAGAAAATAGCAGGCAGAAAGGCATGTTTGCTATTGTTAATTTCGTCAATGGCTGTAGTGGATGATGGCAGCGTGTCCAGGCAGGAGCGGAGTCCAGTTGAGATGAAATGGAACTCATGCTTGACTAAACTCTATGTGCGAGAGTATTGTTTTATCTTCGTCTCTTTCTTTTGGTATTCGTATTTATATACCCCATACTGCGACTTTTGCTAGTATCGTGTTATAATTAGAGGGCTGAAAGTAATTGACGAACTATAAAGCACCTGTGAAATACAAGGTTCATGACCATATTCTCTTGCATAATGATTTGATATTACTAGCTAATGAGACCTGATGAGTGCAAATAAGAAAATAATTAACTCCTGTAGAAGATAGCCTGAAAAGGAACGGGGCTGGATCTCAACAGGCCTTGTCAATCACAGGCTCTAGTTACCATGTTATTTGAGCCACGACTCCGGGAGGGATGGGAGACTTGGGCTTTCCCTATCGCTTCGGAGTTTCACAGCCCAAACCGTGACCCCAACCTTTTGCCTTTTTGGATCATGACTCCGACCATTGGAAGTTTTAAATCTTCCAAAATTGAAACCATCTGTTCTCGGGTATCGCGCCAGTCTCTTTCGCTCTTGAAATTGACAATAAGATGCAGGAACACCTCGCTGTTTTTCATACTCGAGGTTGTTCCTATACGGTACGCTGCAAGTTCAACCCAATCTACAGCACCGATCTCAGTTCTGACTTTTTCCATCACATCCTTGTGCTTCAAAAAGTAAGGGTGTTTTGAATCCACGGGCCAGAAGTGAAATGGGCTGTGGAGAGTTGGTTCCAAGATTTCGACATTGATGTGACCAAGCTCGTGTTCGGATAGACGTCTCCAGATCTCGCGACAAGCCTGAACCCAATCGTTGTTAAATGTGTCACGAGTTGCAGTGATGATCAAAGTCGCCAGGGGTTGTAATATCGGCCAATATTCGTACTGACACCTTTTGATCTTGACCGAGGATGCATTGACTTGGTACTCGTCGAGGACCGAAAAGATCATCTTATGAAGACTGATGTTTTCAAGAACTGCCATCAAAGGGAACTGCCTTTCAGATCGAGGATTGTCTCCGGTAGGGAGCAGAGGAATGGACCTCCGGCACGATATCTTTCATTGATGAATCCATCTGGATCGACTTGCCAACGGCCCTGGTCATGGATACTATCACAGCTAGTTCGAATACGCTGTCCATCTCGAAGAGGAGAGGCGTATGCCGCCAGCATTTGGGAACCCTTTGGGGGCTCTTCCTCCTCTGATTCAGAATCATGCCGAGATGACGTATCAAAGCTGTCGATAGAAGACAATTCGGATTTGGCACCGCAAGAGCTATCGGAAGCCCATGGAGAAGAGCCAACAGAGGAATCATCAGCCGAATTATCAGATGATGTGTTGGATATGGTATTAGGCTCTTTCTGGCTGGAGCTAGAGTTTTGGAGCGTGTTGGTGTCATTCTCAGAGGTATCGTCACACAGGATAACGGTTTGGACATCACTGTCACTATCACTGTCATACTGAGTCGACTTTTCAGATGTAGTGGTGGTTCGGAATTCGCAATTCTCCTTGGAAGATGGGTTGGACAAGGCGATATGTAGCGACTTCGGGCTAGTATCAACACCTTCAACGGAGGAAGATTCGGATTTGGCACCAGAAGAGCTATTGGAGGATCCCGAAGAAGAGCCAATAGAGGAATCGTCAGAGGAATCATCACGCGAATCATCGGATGACGTGCTAGATATAGCGTTGGGCTCTTCCTGGTTAGAGCTGGAGTTTTGGGGCGTATTAGCCTGATTCTCAGAGGTATTGTCACACAGGATAACGGTTTGAACGTCAGTGTCACTGTAATGTTGAGTCAAAGCGTCCAGTGTAGTGCTGGTTTTGGATTCGTAATTCTCATAGACAGATGTGTCGAACAAGTCACTGGGTGGGTATTCCGGTCTCGTATCAAGGCTGTCATTGGATGATGTCTCTGATTTGGCACCAGAAGAGCTATCCAAGCCCCCGGAAGAAGAATCGTCAGAGGACATGTTGGGGATAGTACTAGGATCTTTCTGGCTAGAGCGGGAAGTTTGAGGGGAATCACTCTCAGAGGGATTGTCACACATGATAACAGTTTGAATGTCACTGTCACTGTCACTGTCATACTGGGTGGGCATATCCCATGTAGCGCTTGTATCAGCTTCGAGATTTTCTTGGGCAGGCAGGCTAAACAAATGGACAGGTGAAGATTTGAGTCCTATTGCAGTGGAAGTCTCAGGCATGATGACGTTTTCGACAACAGAGTCACACTGCGTGGAGGTGCTTGTTTTGAGCTCGCGGTTTCCTTCTACGGACGGGTCGGTCAAGGTTGAGGATGACCGTTTGGTCTCAGTGCAAGTATCAAACATGATGATAGTGTCAGTGCCAGTGTCGAGTTGTGTGTAGAGGCTTGGAGTTCATCCCAAGCATGATGATTTGATGGGGGAAACGAGAAAAGCAGAGTGAGGTAAAAGAGAAGGAGAGTGGAGAAAGATATGCGGCTCGACGGCCTTGGCAAACCTTAAATGCAGCTATGCCCACCCCGGGGCCGTCTAATGCTCATTTATAAAACCTCCAAACCAACCTTTTCAGCACCAATCTCGTTTTTAACCCTCTTAGTTTTTATAATAATCTGACTCTCGTGTATTCAAGTGCCACGCGCCTTCCTGGAAGGAGACAGCATCAGAACCAATACCTTTCATGGAAAATGTGCTAACATCGATCCGCGGCGTTTGGTGCTACGTTCGAAGTATAATACAAAACCCGAAGCAATGTTGCCGGTCGATCTCAAAATCTTCATGCAACCGCTCTTTTGCAGTTAGGTAAGCATGCCCACCTAAACGCGACTTAACATCTTATTCATTCGCATCAGACTGGAATTCATCATTGTTTATTGTAGACGAGATGGAGAACCTTCGAAGGAGAGAGATTGTATTCGACATGAAAAGGCTTGCAAAAGTCACAGCAGAGTCGGTCGGGGCTGCTCAATGCATTTTCGTCACGAAGTACGCCGACGGCATGTTCAACAAAACATTCCTCATGAGTCATGACTATGGGAGATGGCCGAGATGTTGTAGCCAAGGTGTCTGACCTCAATGCTGGAGTTCTACACTTTATCATGACCAGTTAAGTTGCCACGATGAACTTTGTAAGTTAATTTTGAACTCCGCCGCCGCCAAATCCTGCAAATACGACTGGACTGGGAGGCTAGCAGAATTCCTAGAACACCAGCGCCCCACGTCCACGCATGGAACTTACAAGCAAATTCGCGTCCTGTTGGGGCTGAGTTCATTATCATGGGTAAGGTTGAAGGTGCCCCATTATCTCAAATCTGGAGCACGATGCAACTACAACAGAGGCTCAAAGTGATCATTGCTATGACCAGACTGCAGTTTCATTCTCGCATTACGGCAGCCTGTACTATGCAGGAGATGCTCAGTCCCCCGCAGGCGGCCACTATCTCAAGGATGGCAGAACCTTTAATGATTCAGAGTTTGCTATTGGCCCGATTACTGACCGAGACTAGTTTGACGCGAGCTGATCAAATTTAGATATTGAGAAAGAACCATATACGTCAGTATGTACAACTACTTTCTTCTCACAGTCACTAACGAGTTTATAGGGCCTTCTCTGGCGCAATATCTGCAAGAAATTGGAACGCGAGAGATGAAAGCAATCCAGTCTCTGAAACCACCACAACAGATTGCCTTATTTTGTGGTCCAAAGCTGTACCAACCCCACGCTAAAAAGAAGCTTATTGCTTTAGCGTCGTACCAAACGATTGTCAATGCCCTTACCCAAATGCACACCTTAATCGCCAACCCACGCATCTGGCATAATGATTTGCATGATGACAACATATTCGTAGAGCCACATGACCCTGAAAGAATCACAGGTATCATTGACTGGCAGTGTTGCTATATCTCACCCCTCTTCAACCATAATCCCGCTCCTGCTTTCCTCGACTGGGATGGTTTTGAGCCTGCGACGCTCAACCTAGCACCAAGGCATGTTCTAATACGGTGAGGAGCACTTCTTATCGCTTCCAGTCTATTTGAAGGACACGTGGGCCGACATTCCTGGCGGAACTAGCGACATTCCATCCCCGTTTGACTGTTCGAGAATGGATCTCGAGCGCATCAAGCTGGGTAGTGATAATGCGGTAGCAGGCACTGAGCTTATGTCTGAGGTCAAGGAGGAAATGGGCATTCTGTGGCCTGACAAAGGCATTATCAAACACGCGCGATATGATGAATGCAAAGCTCCCATTGATGAAGTCAAATGTCAGATACCGGGGCAATTGGCTGAGACCTGGTTCTCTCGGCTTATTTTCACAGATTAGAACACATATTGATGTTATTTGTAAATTCCATTTCACGTGTATCTGAATGTATAATAATGCCCTAGATCGTGACTCTATCTACGAGCTCTCTGCCAACTCGGCCTCAATAATTCCCAAACCGTCGCCCTCCCGAACCCAGAATTTTAGGACTCGCAAACCAACAGAGGTCAGCAGGTCACTCCAGCGCTGACGAGTTCGCTCTAATCCGCAGCAGAAAACCATTACGGCGATATCTGTCATACAAGGCAGCGAGCGAGCATTCTTATCGGGAAGAATATACTCCTCCATGATGATCTTGGAAAAACCACGCTTCATAGCCGGCTTTAGGTTGTTAAAGATAACAGTCACTTTCTCATCTGACCAGTCATGCAACACGTTCTTGAAATAGTACGCGCGTGCCCCTGCGTGTAAAAAAAGATTTGTTAGCCCCAACTAAATACATACATACTCACATGAATAGTAGCCTTACCTTTAACCGGTTGAACCTCAGCGAAGAAATCATGCGCAACAGTGTCAATAGACGCCGCCTCTAGATCCAGTGCTTCACGTGCTTCATCAACCACAGATGAAAGATCCTCCATTACCAATTTACCCGGGGCATCCGGGAATCTCTTCCTAAATCCAATCAACTCATGGCCACGTCCAGCGCCAATGTCTACCAAAAGTGGTATCTCGGCAGTCATGTCCGGATGATCGAGAAGTTGTTCACGAACAGGGAACCAGTCAGCCCAGTGTGGACGGTTACCCCGATGTCCTTCCATGAAGCTATTGAATCGACTCAAAGCTTCGGGGTTCTGGCAGAGCCATGTAAATGCACCTATCTTCAGGTTGTGAGTGTATTGGAGAGGAGCGAACATGGGATCATCTGGGTTGCGATAGTTGGTGGATTGGAGATATTCGGGGACTTTCTGGATTGAGGGCAGGAACTCAAGGAACCTGGTTAGATTAGTATACTGAGATTCTGTTTTTTTTCTTAAGTATAATTCTTTTGGAGAAGCCTTACATCGATCCCACGGCCCCAATTGATGTGTGCTGGGTCATTTCTCGGGATAATGCAGTGGGTAGGTATTCGCTGGGAGCTGGCTCTTCTACGAAACCATTGGCGACTAGAACTCGCATAATGCGCTCTAAGAGCAAGTTAGATCTAACATTTTCTTTCTGGTTTTTGGGCATCTGCTTACCGACTAGAAGAGGGTCTGCGGGCTTTGCTCCAGCTAATTTGGCCAAAGGGACTGGGGCCGTGGCCTTAGCTAGCACGGGGAATACATTCATATCATGGGCCGTCTTGACGGCCATGAGAATGATTGGCTTTTCAGTTTGCATTAGTAGAATATCCCGACGAGTATAAGGGATTATCTAGGACTAACAGAAAAGCTCAGCTTGATGATCGCATCTCTGGGTAGTTCCAGGGCACGCGCCAGCTGGGCAGCCTTATCTTGCGCTTGAACTCGAACAGTATCGGTTTGAGTTGATTCATATGAATCAAGTAAAGCTTTGGTTTCTGCCAAAAGACTTTGAAGGTGTTGGATATCCATTATATTCAAGTATTATAGTCAAGTAGGCTGAGGGGGGAAACGGCAGTAGGCTGGAGCAGCAGGGGCCTTAATTAAGTAATTCCCTACAATAACTCACCCTGGAGCGGTTATTCTAGGTAACATAAGATGTAATATGTAGACGCAATGTACCGGATTCGATTAAACCCAGAGATATACGGAGTACACACCACCCATACGGGGAGTATCCATCAGATGCACCTTATCCCCACTGAGGTTTAAAGAGCGGGGCGATGGTGAGGTGGTCGAAGCCAAACCAATCAAGCATACACGTCCTCCAATCGCCTTACATGTAAGCCTACAATAACCTCTGTCAAGAAAATACTTTCGTTTAAACGAGAACATAATTCTTCCTCAGGGAAGGAAACTCCTCAATGCAATTACACTCAAGATATGTTATGGGATGGTCATTTATACTCCGTGAAATCCTATAGTTTATAGGTTAAGCTCTCGATTTAGACTCTTCTTGGCCCCAACGTTATAACGGAGGCTCGTGGTGGGCCCCTCCTTCATGGGTTTGTTGGGCTATACGATAATCTGATGTGTGAGCCTGCAGCACAGCAGGGGTTGCATATTAATTATTGAAGTCAATTTACATGGTGCATGCACATCCTTTCCGGCTTTGGTGTCATCGGTGTCATTGGTCTGGCTAGTCTGGGTATTGTCATCAATCTCACGCACAAGATCATCATCATCGAATAAATAGGTCAGAGATCTAATATTTTGGGATCATGAAGGAATATATTTGACTCTGCGGCCTCGAGAGACTCCCGCACGTGCCGAATACTGTCTCTATTATTATGGACCAATTGAACGCTAGATATAGTTGAGTGATTAAACTTAGATATATCTAGAACCTATGTACTATTTAAAAGCCCTGCAATGAAAAATATCCCATAAATTGAAAACTAAACAGTACTATTACTCAAAGGACGTTGTCAAGTCTATCGCCATATATTCCTACATCCCAGCATTCCCGCATGTGTTGTAATTTCTTCTCTCGGTGCTCAGCTGCTATGAGCAGACCGCTTCATATCTCTTTTAAGATGCAAAATGCAGCATAGAAGCGATACCGCAGAGAGTCCATGAAATCATGGAAAAGTAACAATGAAAAAGAGAGAATGAAAAAAAAAAGATATTCGTGATTCGTGTCATTCGTATATGATAAAACAAAAAGCGGAAAAAGCAAAAAGGCACCAGAAACAAGACTAGAAGTGCTCCTTCCAGAACTTGAACCGGACGTCTTTGGTTGATGATGATTTAGCCGCATCGCTAATCTGCATAGCAGCAGTATTAGGACCACAGAAATACACTCCGATCTCGGTTGTAGTAGCACTCTGCAGACCCGTCATATAAGACTGGTTCAGCAAGCCAAGCCGCATAGCGGTGAAAAGACGCTTGAAGTCCGGACGACCGAAATTCGTTCGACTCTTTAGTTCGGTGAGCGGATCGAGCGCCTGACCGACGGAATTTAGGTAGATATTTGCAGCGGTATCAGCGTCGAGACGCTGTGTGAGATATGTATGGATACGCAAGAACTCGGTGCTTCCCTCGCTAGCAGCCGTGTTGGCGGATTGGGCTTCTAGGGAAGATAGTAGGGCTTGGAACCACTCAAATGAAGATGTATCCTTACAGACCCAAATGAACTCAACACGTCGTAGACGACGGGGAGGATTGGGACTTGAGCGCATATGCCAAATGTTCTTGAGAATAGATGCCCAGGGCGTGACACCGATACCGGTGCCGATGAGCACAGCGATTTCGTTGTCGAACACATCTTCTGCGGGTGCTCCGTATGGTCCATCCACGCGGATTGCGGGCATAGTTTGTCCGTTCTGTAGGGCAACTTCGTACATGCCGTTGGGGTCGAGGCCTTCAAGATCTTTGGCTTGGGCGGGACCGCAACCGAGCGCATCTCCGAGTGCTCGAGTGAAATCTCCGACTTGGCGGACGTGGATGCTGAGGTATGGATCAAAGGGGCAGGAGGTAATGGTGAATGGATGCCATTGGGTACTGGAAACATCAGGCACTTGGAGGAATACCCATTGCCCGGCTTTGTATTTCATGCTGGGCTTGTGGAACTGGATCTCCATGGCGGCTAGGGTCATTCTGTTAGTTGCGGTCAATCCAGCATTTGTGAAAGCAGAAGATCATACCATAAGGATGACGGATGACTTTTGTGATAACTGTCACTCGCCGGGACCGGATCTCCCTGTAAATTCGCTCGAAGAGATACAAAGCTCCGATGACCAACTCCCATCTCCACCCTTCATAGCCAAGACAATGATCCCAGAATTGTTTTCCTGCGAAAGGAGAGATAGGGTCGGCGGTGTCTCGGACAAAGCATCCGGTGGCGTGCGTATATAGTGCCAGCATAAACGGAATAAAAAGGTGATGCCCATACCAGAAGGTTTCATATGCTTGCTGGCGAATACGATGGTGTGCCGTGGTATACATGAGCATCATGCACAGGAGCATGACATGGCCAGTGATACCACCTGCGCGAGCAAAATGGATCGTTACTGCAAGTTCTGGACGGATTTGATTTTTTTCGATGTTGTAGAAACTGAGTAGTGTTAGCAAAGTAACCGAGACAAGTTGGATAAGAAAGCAATGTACTTTACGTAGTGAGAAGCGGTGTGGATAGCCGTGAATACTAGTATAGCATAGGCTATTTGCCGGTGGAACCACGCCGACTCATCCAGTGGTAACCATCTGATCTGTGGTCTTATCCATCGGAGGATGTTCCGACACATAGGAAATAGGATCAAAGTACAATCCACCGAAAGGACGAGACCTGCGCCTCGCGAGATCCAGACTGAATAGCTAAGAGCATTCAGCGGCGCCAACTTTGGATTTGAAGCCTGTAGGTACCTATGAGAATGTCAGCAACGCAATCCAGGAGCTGATAGACGTCAGAATGCATACCATCCTACAGCAAAGATACCAATATGTGAACCCCAAAAGAACAAATGGAACAAGACCTTGGAAACGGTCAAGTCCGCCCTCTTCCACCAGGAATATTGAGCTGCGGCCATTCTTTCTCTGCGTTTCTTGAAAATGTCGACCAGCGACAAGTAATTTGGCGATAATTCAATCAAAGGAGTGACGACGGTTGACCAGCAACCCGGTAATATACACTGAAGTTTTGTCGAAAATGAAATCTCCTAATCCAGTTTCGTGGAAAGACTCCAGTGTGAATATTGACAGGTCAGTGGGTTTCGAGTCTGTCAACGCCCTTGCTTCCCCATAAACTTGACGTAAATCAAGATTTTCTGGAATAACTTCTGCTTCGAAGGTAACGACCAGGGCCTCGAAGACTCGGAATATTCCAAATTGTATCAAATGTCTCGCACCGGTAAAAGCACACTCGCAGCGTGCGATATTGCTCAGTCAAAATGTATAGAGACTTTTTATGAGTTGTACGCCTTGTCGCGAGCGCTGTTGGCGTTTCGCCGGGGGATTCCCCTTCACGTGTCCTCTCGACTACAAGAGGATACTGGACACTTGAGATAAAATATGATATTTTATCGGTTGATTCAAGTTGCCCTAGACATGGTTGACGTCAATAGATGAATAGGGATAAGACCGGAGGGGAGTTGGAGGTTCAAAGAATCCCAGTGTTGTGGTTTTAGCTGCAGGGGTGGGGGCGGCCGATCTATAATTACATCGCTTCTGGCGGGCACTACTCCGTACAACCGACTATGGTAGATTTTTAGTCCAATAGACTAGGACTACTTAAGCCTACAATGTCTGTGCTCTAAAAATTCTCCTATGAATGGGTAGTGGGGAGACCAAGAGAGTACGTTTAGAGGCTAGAATCCTTCGCCGCTTAGAATCCTCGTCAGTTTTTGCCTGATCTCTCTCAACTGTTATCTTGGCTGATTCTTCCAAGACTGTCAAAGGTCCGGCTTATGATCCTGGAACCCAGTTTAAATTGATACTCTGGGAGGTTTGCTATTTTTAATGGCCGTTCGTCGCAGGCACACCAATCACAATACGAAGTTTATACGCCCTAAGAGTCTGACCACCGTGCCACGTTCCCCGCGAAGCGAGTCTAGTGAAAAAAAGGAAGTACACCCTGTTGAATCAACCTTGTCCGATTCGGCTCTTTGTTCTAATAATAATGACGGGCTTGAAATGGTGGAAGCTAAAGGGTCGAAGCCGAAGTTCAAAAGAGATTAATCCCCCGAGGGTGACAGCGAGGCTGGTGAGTGGCCATGGGGGACCGTGTGTGGGCAGCGTTAAACGAGACCAGGGAAAGAAGGTTGCTAGGAAGCTAGCCTATTACAATCCTCCTGCAAGCGCTGTCTTTTCGTCACACAGGAGCCCCGAGGGTCGCCCAGCGGTGAAAACACCTGTCATTCGACTCCGGATCCTTAGACGAAGGTTCGCCCAAATATAGAATAGTGATTGACTTCGAGCTATGTTTCCCCATCAACGAGAAATTTTTTCCCCGATGATGGTATCCACTTAGCACTACAAGTTAAACCAGGCACGGGCTGCATCTGCAGGAGATGCAGAAAGACGGTGTGTTGCACTGAATTGAAATCAGGGCTACCGCGGTCATCTGATCTGGAACAGTTCCAAACTTGTCTCTGGTACAAAGCCCAGACAGCCCAGGCAACCCCCAGCCCGAAAAACACTGGCCTCGATTGAAATCCTCAATAATAAAAGTACAATTTGAATGTCGATGAGCCTTGAGAATGAAAGGCCCCCTGTGCGTGCCATGCGTGCCACCTGCAGTTCATCACGCCAAGCCCAAGCGCTGTGGCCCCTGATTTGTCGACATCCACTTTGCGATCCGCTCCGTCACATCCCCCACTCTCCAATCACATGGGTTATGTCGGTTCTTCAGAACCCCAAGAAGAGGGGGTTGTCAAGGATTCAAGGGCCTCTCTGCTGATGATTGGTCTATGATACTTGTATCCGTGCGGGTCACGGCTTAGCCCTATCCTTCTTGCATGTGTACTAACCCCGTGCAGCGATTCACCTTTTTGGCGCTCGACAATCACATCCCAGCCAAGTGTTCCAGGTTCTAGTTGAGTTATCAGCGGGGTCACTTGTCTAAGTATAGATTCTTATACCTGGTCCTGCCTGCAAGCATGCCACTCGAAATATGCTGCTTTTTCTTCCCCATATGAGATCATGCTACCACGATAAACCCTTGCAATAATACCCACTCTCCATGTGCTCTGGATTATCCAACTCAGTTAATATCTCTGTCTTGCGGGATTATGCGATGAAGTGATTCTCTCACAGAATCTGTCGCAGCTATTTGGGGATTGCGACATTTGCCGCCCAAGATTAGCTCCGCACTGTGTCACTCATACCCAAGTGGCTTTATTTCCTCCGAGACCTTCGCTGGCCGAAGCTCTACCACACACAATACAGTTCTTACACATTCGAGTACCCATAACTCAACACAATGGGCAGACTCATCAAGAACCACTGGGGGCGGTTAATTATTCTCACCGCATCAGCTTGTACGTTGCTCACTCAAAACTCCCAACTTGAAGCTGGAACTGACAGAATGTAAACAGACCAAGTTGCCAGTGCTATCGAGGGCTTTATCTGGCCCAAAGTATTCTGGGACTTTATCTCCAGAAACCTCGATGCAGCCGTCGCCCCGATACCCGTTCTTCAAATCCTAAATCTCATCATGGGCCTCGTGGGCATAGCCTGGGAATGGCCTCTCAAGCCACTTGCTGGCTCAATACCGCACCGCAGCATTGAAATCCGTCTCATTATATACCCCCTCAGCGCCCTCCTCGCGGCGCTTCTCTATCAAGGCACCGACCCTGCAATATATTATTTGATTGGCATCGGTGTTTATTTCTGGGCCTACAGTGAAGGCGAGGTATGTTTTTACATATTTTGATCTAGAATAAGCCGTTCTTATGCTAACGAGAGCATGTATAGGTCGTCTGCCCAGAGCCTTGGACTTTACCGAAACGGCATGGACTATTTAAAGCATAACAATGGCCCAGTCTGGTGTATTGATTGCAGCAGACGCAGATAATGTAAATAGTATAATATGTAACGAACTTGACGACTTGAAAGAATGACTTTAGCTGTATCATTGATCTCCATCTGGATCGTATGATCATATGGTCTAAAGCATTAGTGAGAACTATCCATATTACTACGTATCATAGACTTGTCGGGAGCTAAGTATCACTCTATTTTAATGACAAGTGACAATCACAACACTATTGTCCTTCCCATGGTATCTAGAATGGTTGTAGTTAGGCGAGTTGTCATTGATGCCTTGTCAACTCGCCTGGCACGTGATAGCGTATCCAGATTCAAGAAACGTCATCTTGACAATAATATGTCCACATCAAGAGATCCAGAAGATCTCATATAAATGCCCCGTGCAATGTCATGGACGACCCCAGGCTGCGTGAAATCTGAGAACTAACCAATCAATCAGACTGATACCAAATAAGATGCCTCCGTCTACAGAAATCCAACCCAAAGTCGAGGAAGATGAGTTCCCCCTGGAAACAGTGGAGGATGTCCCAGTCAACAAAATTACCAGCTTCAATGGCAAACTGCAGCAATACCTGCATAGAGGGACTGCAGCGCAAGAAGTCCCAAGTGCCTCTCGGAATACTATATCCCAACGCCACATAAACACCACCAAGACCGAATATAAACCGCACATTACCGAAAAACAAGAAAAAGCCAGCAACCCAAGCCCAAGGCGCAAGAGAACAGTCCCACAAACAACATCATCCGAGATAACAACCACCCACCTACGCACCACCCGCTCCCAATCGATCTTAACGACAACGCCTCCATCCCCAAATAAACGCAAGCGCAGCAGGGCAACACCACAACTACCACCCACGCCCCCAATCGCCGGGCCTTCAGCCACAGAATCCCTCCTCCGTGACACAATCCCCCCAAACCTAATCCTCCTCCTTGTAGGCGTGAACCCGGGGATAATGACAGGCATAACAGGGCACGCCTACGCACACCCATCGAATTTATTCTGGAAACTACTGTTTTCATCAGGGATAACAAGTATGCGCCACATACCAGCCGACACATATAAACTTCCTGCGCTATACAGTGTTGGTAACACGAACATCGTTGAGCGGCCTACGCGCGATGCGAGCATGCTCAGTCGCGCGGAGATGGATGCCGGTGTTCCTATACTCGAGGCTAAGGTTGCTGCGCAGAGGCCTGAGGTCGTTTGTCTTGTTGGGAAGGGTATTTGGGAGGCTGTTTGGCGGGTTAGACATGGGAGGGGGATTCGGAAGGAGGAGTTTCGGTATGGATGGCAGGCGGAGGAGGAGAATATGGGTCGTTGTGATGGTTGGGCTGGAGCACCGGTTTTTGTCGCTACGACAACTAGTGGGCTTGCGGCTGGGATGAAACTTGCGGAGAAGGAGGCTGTTTGGGCGGAGTTGGGGAGTTGGGTTGTTAGGAGGAGGGGGGAGAGGGGGTTGGATTCTGTGGTGGTTAAGGAAGAGGTTTGATATCAGGGTTTAGGATTTGTTGGCGCCTTTATTTGTATAGATGATGTCGTTGTACCACTCACTATCATGAGCTACAATATTCGCTTGATAAAGTATGGAACGGATTTACAACTGGAAATGTACAAGACGAAGTTGGGGGGAAAAAAGGTGTATTTATTTGTAGACGAGTGAAATCGCTCATCATTCATTATCTCATGATATCAGGTGCAGAAGCCTGTGAGTATTAAGATGCTAAACCCAGAAACGGCAACCACTCCCTTCAAGCCCATTCCAGGGCTGAAGTTAAGAGGATGTAGCATGACGTTTCCCGAAAGGGCCATTCGCCGAAGTGCCATACAGGGGACGATCGAGGGATATGGATATCTCAATGGAGGTCAAGGTGAGGGGTAAAGGAGGGGAGATAAGTGACCAGGGTGTGCATCAATCAGACAACAACCCCTGTCTGGTCTCCCCATTGGCCCCGAGAGGGGTATAGGACAAATTTAGCGGCTGCCGTTGGAGTCATTCTTGCCTCCCTCACGCTCGCGTGCCTGTTGAAAAGAAGTTAGTATACAGAACTCCACAATTGATTCACTGTGGAAGAAGCACTTACCGTGGTGGCCTGGTATTCGCCGCCTTCCAGGATCTTGACCATGCACTCATCATCTTTAGTTGTACCGAATTCGTTCTGCAGAGCGCTCTGGCTAGCGGTATCAAGGACACCCTGAGCTCCGTGGCTGCATACAGATGTTAATGACCAGACATGATAATAAAGAAGCTAATAACACTTACGAGTGAGTGACGAAGATCTTCCAGCCGTTCAAAACTTCAGTGAGGGGAACACTACGGTCGCTCTTCCACTTCTTGAGGGTCTCAAGGTCATCGACAAAGACAATGAAGTCATCGGAGCTACCCTTGTAGAAGATCTTGTTGGCGGTTTCGTTTCCACGGGCCATTTTGAAGGTTGTGAAGGTTGAGTTTTGGATGTTATTGGAGAGATTGAAGAGATTTGAAGTGAGGAAGGAAAAATGTTGAGTGAGAATGAAAATGAAAAGGTAAAAGCTGGTGGTTTAATAGCTGTCCAAGTGGGAGCTCAGGTGATGATGACTGGTGACGTCACACTATGAGCTGATGCAAACAAACTGCTTTGCATGTGTTCACTTACTTTGTGAGTACTTTGACTATGTACAAAGTACAACATATAAAACTACAATTAAATTACAAGTGGATAGCATTCTATGTCATTGGTGGTTCTAGTCCCTCCCTTGCCTACATTTCTCACACGGTGAGTTGCCAACTATTGCAGCTGTCGACGTCATAGTAGCTCCCCTGCGAGCTGCCGGATCCGCTGTGACGCCAAACGTGGGGATAATGCTCAATGGGCCAAGTGGCAAGTTGGGAGAGAGAGAGCGGATCTTCTTGAATTCCAATTAATAATTACTTTGTAGTTATAATCCAAGCCATTACGTTTTCGGGTTAATTATACTGCATCCTTGACTCCAATGCTCCGAATGTCCCAGAACCATCTCAAAAGAATAAGACCTGCCTGCCTATGTAACAATGGGGAATTCACTCAACATCAGAGCGGGTCTTTTTCAGCTTCTTGGGTGCCAAGGCACTTAACAGATTCTTTGGAGATGACCACTTCTTGGAAAACGGAGATGACTCGGGACTTCCATCCTGGCTCTGTCGCGAGTCGCTGCGAGGCGAGGAAACAGCCGGCGAGGGGTTTTTGGGTGAACCTGTGAAAAGAAATGTCTTGGACCGCTGTGGCGTGGTGGGTGTTTGAGGCAACTCATACTCGACTTCCTTACCCTCCCCTATCTCACTGCTGTCTACTGCCTCCTTGTCCATTCCCTCGTTATCTCCGCCAGAGCGCATGTCGGTTGATGCTCTTCTCGGATTAAAGGTGCTGACAGAGTTCGACCGTTTAGTGAACCCCGGGCGAAGGCTGAGCCCTCTCATGAGCGGACCACGTAGGAAGAGATCACCCCTTCCAAGAACCATTCCTGGCGATGGAAGGATATCTCCTGTGTAGACATCTGAGATCAGTCGCTCTAGTCGGACTCGGTCACTCCGGCGAGCAGTCAATATCAATGCGGAGCGGTCAGCAGGTATCTTGGGCCGTTCAATCTCTCCTTCAGCCTGTGCGGCTGGTTCTTCGGTGTGGTGCGGGTAGTGCGTTTTCTTAATGACTACATGTTGAACACGGGACTTGCGGGAGATAGTCGTTGAATCCATGGACCTCCGCGCCATAGAAGACACTGTGTATTGAACATGGTCTAGAGGCAACAGTTGGAGGGCCAAGAAAGAATGTTTTCTTGGCTCCCACATCCTGGGCTGGCCCGTTTCGGCCAAAGCGGCAGACATTTTGAGAATCTCCGTATTCCATTGCTTTTCTTCTGCTGCCGATGATGCACTGAGAACAAATTCGTAGTTCCTATCTTGGTTTTGAAACAGAACCTTCCATGAAAATATACATCCGTAGGAATACAGCCCTAATGGGTTAGATATACTACGAGCATAAATCTTGGGAGAATTTTACTCACCTTGTCCATTTTGAAGAGTATCAATCTTGAGACTGTCTAGGTAGACACAAGCCACTGCTTCCAGCCGACGCTGGTCATCAATTCCCTTGGCGAAGAAAAGGTAGCGTTGAAACAGCACACAGACCATAAACTCCCCGTTGGTGATTTCCGCTGTTTGATATGTGACATGGAGCACACCGCACATGGCCAATGGGCCTAGGTCTTTATATATACTCTGAAGTGCGTCCTGCCCAAAATCTTCAGTATTGTTCAACTCGTCAATGGAGATCGTGTGCCTACCGATTTTGAGATATCCACCTTCTTCTGCAGAATGATTGTCTTGTGGATGCGATCTTTGTTAATCGGGTTTCCAACTGCCAGATTGATCTGTGTTACCAGCACCCGCATACTGTCCAAAACTTGCTCAATTCCATCATGGGAAGACGGACAATCACTAACAGGGGTAGATCTGAGCAGATCTTGTAGCACAAGGGGATATTTGCAAAGACGTTGGATGGGCTATCTTGTCATTAGTGGTAGAAACATCCATCAGACGTAACTCACACACCTTTATCAACATATCATTCAATGTCATTGATTTTTTGTCCTCTTGTCTGCGTCGCTCTGTTGACGCGACCGATTTTGACAATGCCTCAATTCCCTGATCATATATTGTCCAGTTGGAAATCGACCGGCGTAAAAGAGCAACATCCTGTGTCAATAGCTCATAGTTGCTGCAAAATTGGTCATACACGGGAATTGAAAGTGACTATAAAATGCTTAGTTAGTGCATGCAACCAGATTTGGTATACCAATGCCCACCAATTTTCCAAGTTCACGGGCAACCTCTAGTCCCTCTGTTGGTTCAGCAGTGAGTGCCATGAGGCGCCGATTCACCGATGCCTTGAGCGATCGAGTTCTTAAAGATCGTTGTTGAAGACCCTTTAGACTACCCAGGTCAATGGTCCCTATACGCTTGGTGATGCCCCGGGATGTAAGCTCAGAGACGCCTGCTTGTTGAGCGCGAGGCGCTGACATGGGAGATGCTGTTTGAAGCTGGGTCAAAAAACGTTCATGGATTCCAAGGATCTCCTGGATGTTGTCATAGATCTCGCGCCTTGTGTCAAATATCGTCAGGATCTGTGAGTTTACGGGGCACATCAGCATCAAACTAAGGAATGATAACTCATTCAATTGCTTACCCCAATAAGAGCCTTCAGACCAAGGACATAATCAGACTCAGTCTCAAGAAGTTCCTGTAGGATATGGCGCCGTCTGGTGGCCCGTGTTTCCGCCGCCTCATCAGCATGTTGACTTGAGGTTGGCCGAGAGCTCTCACCAGAATGACGCATATCCGATCGCATGCTATGGCTTCTTGTGCTTTGAATAGTTGTTCTCGATCTTATCAAACTCTGGCTTCCAATGCTTGCTGTGGTTGTTTTGACAGTTCCGAGCTGCGATGAGTCGGATGCACTCGACTGGTGACCTTGCGAGCCATGGGAAGATGAATCTGACCAGCCCTCCACATACTTCTTTTGATATATAGGAGACTCGTGTTTCCGTCCTCGAAAGCTGTCCATCCATTTCTTGAATAGACGAGTTGACTTTTCGGTCGGAGTCACTCCGCCGCTGCTCTCGAAATTCTCCTCAGATTCATCATCCAACAGGGCTTGTTTCTCGATATTCGTTTCATCTTGGTGCGCCATGGTCCCAAATAGCGACCCCGCCCAATAAAACATAGGACTTAGATTCCGGTGGCATGGAGAAAGAAGAGGCAGACCTAACGGACTGCTCAAAACAACCGGATCGTACTTCATGGCGAGGGAGGAGCTATTCAAAGTACCTGCCTTGTCTACATCTCCGACGGTGGAAAGTGCATGTACAGAAAACAGGGGAAACTGCTACTATCCAGGCAGTACAGAGTAGAGATTGTGAATTTGAATCCCATCCATGTACGTCATGAGGTGAGGCAGCGAGATAGCTGGAATTGAAATAACACATTTTATCTTTCATCTCTTGGTGAGCAGTGGAGCCTTTCCCTTTTATGTACGATGTGTGTTATATCCTGAAAGTGAAGCTCTGAACTTGAAGTTGGAATTGTATACTTCGAGTGCCAAGCATCGCCGCTTATATAAAAATAGCGGGAGGTCCAGGGCTGCCCAGGTGCCCCCCCAAGACCCACCTAACCTTCTTCTCCTCTCACTTTCCTTCTCTACTCAAATAATCATGGACAATAATATTCATGCTCCAACTGTTGCCTCCGGACCAGTGTCCGGGGCCACTCCTCGCGATATGTCCAAGTTGTCGATGCCAGAGCTGATGCAGGAGAAAGAACGCATCGAGGCGGAATTATCAGCTCTTAGTAGCGTCCTCCAGTCGGTGAGATTCCCGACCCGGAAGTACCTATCGCAGTTTCTAACAAACCTTTCTATTTCAGCATGGGGTACGAATGACTTCATCTCTTACCACCTTCGACGGTTTCCCTCGTGATGATATCGACATCGCGCAAGGTACGCCCCTACCACACCCCAGTGGATCAGAACATATTGTTAAAGGGAGATGGTAGTTCGCACAACGCGCGTGCGCATTATCCACCTACGGAACGACCACAAGGAGGTGATGCAACTTATCGAGAAGGGTGTCCACGCACATTTCGCCAACATACAAAACACGCAAAGCGCTGGCCCAACTACGAATGGCATCAACGTCCGGCCGGCTATGCAATCATCGACGAATAACACGGCGCTGGGGACGCCCTTTGCCAAGGTTAATAGCGTTGTTTCGGGAAGTCCAGCAGACCAGGCGGGACTGAAAGTTGGCGATGCAATTCGAAGTTTTGGGAATATCAATTGGTTGAACCACGAGCGCCTTTCAAAGGTTGCGCAAGTGGTTCAAGAAAATGAAGGGGTACGCTCGGTTCTCTGCCCCTCTGTGGGAATACTTATATGTCTGACTCTCTTCCTCTACAGCGGGCAGTATCGGTCAAAGTCAGCCGGAAGGATGAAGGAAACACTGACACCACAACGGAGTTCGACCTCCAGCTCACCCCTCGACAGAATTGGGGCGGCCGTGGCCTTCTAGGATGTCACTTGGTTCCCTTATAAAGAGGACACCTCCACCCAGGCTAACAAGCATAACCCGATTTTGCTACCGCCGTGTACATTGACGATATGTACTGCTTATGACTAATGCGAGACGTCCTTTCTGCCTGTTTTCCATAAAATACCTGGGCTCCTGTAAAGAGAGACTGGGCTGGGAAACTGTATGCATAGATTAGCAACAGCGCCGAAGATAACTTGGCAGGCCAAGGCCTGACCACCAAAATTTATTTCAATAAGCCAATAAGAGAACAAATACGAGAAAATCCTATCATGAATATGATCCTTACACCTTAATAAAAAAATTGCCCTCTAAAGTAGCGACTTCAAATATGTTTGCGCGAGGTTGACACTACGTCAGAGGGCCTGAGGCAAACATCCACGTGACCCGCAGCAACGGGGCAAAAATTCCATCCAGCGCTATTAATTCATTCCCCTTCTTTCACCCCTCCCTTCTATCAACAACCCGCCCCCATCTCTACGGCGCGAAATCTTGAATCTTTCTTTTCTTCAAGTTTCTCTCTAACCTATTTTAATCATGGCTGAGACCCCCACTTTCAAGCTCGTCCTGGTTGGTGACGGCGGTACTGGAAAGGTAAGCGCATTTGAGCCTCGATATATGATCGTTGATGGGCATGGGTTCAGAGTGGCAGCCATCTGCACAGTGGTGGTCATCTCATGATATTCATGGACGCACTGAGCTACTCTTTTTGTGACCGCCCTCTACCCCCGCGCCTGTCATCAATACTAAATATCTGCCCAACGGCCCCGCCTCACCGCGACTTCATTACTAACAATGGATCCCAACAGACCACTTTCGTCAAGCGCCACTTGACTGGTGAATTCGAGAAGAAGTACATTGCCACCCTTGGTGTCGAGGTGCACCCCCTCAACTTCAACACCGTATGCTATTACCCCGCCGAAGAACCCCGCTTCGAACTATGCCATCGTGTGATCCTCGCAACTAACCTGACCTGAACAGAACTACGGTGCTATCCAGTTCGATGTCTGGGATACCGCTGGTCAGGAGAAGTTCGGTGGTCTCCGTGATGGTTACTACATCAACGGCCAGTGTGGTATCATCATGTTCGATGTCACTTCCCGTATCACCTACAAGAACGTCCCCAACTGGCACCGTGAGTGACCCTTTCTGATCGTGAACCGATCCAGATCGTTTTTGACTAACAAAAAATCTAGGTGACCTCGTCCGTGTCTGCGAGAACATCCCCATCGTCCTCACCGGTAACAAGGTCGACGTGAAGGAGCGCAAGGTCAAGGCCAAGACCATCACCTTCCACCGCAAGAAGAACCTCCAGTACTACGACATCTCCGCCAAGTCCAACTACAACTTCGAGAAGCCCTTCCTTTGGCTCGCTCGCAAGCTTGTCGGCAACCCCCAGCTCGTACGTCATTTTGTGCCTTGATCTTAATTCGAACCGATCAATACTGACTGATTATCTTCTAGGACTTCGTCGCCGGAATTGCCCTTGCTCCCCCGAGGTCACTGTCGACGAGAAGCAGCTCGAGGCTTACCGCAAGGAGATGGAGGAGGCCGCCAACCAGCCCCTCCCCGACGAGGACGATGCCGACCTGTAAATCGGTGCGCTCAACGACGGGTCCACGAAGTTTCCGAAATGAAAGTTGGGAGTCGCGATGCCCTGTTCTCCCCCACGTTCCCCGAGTCCCATCTCACAACCGACGGGTGGGAGGCAGGAAGTGTACGACTCCCGGGGATTGCCTTTTTTTAGTTTGGGTTTTGCACTGCAAAAGCAAAGTCTGTTCTCCGAAATCACGATACAATGAAAGCGGATGGGGGATAGTCGTGGTTTGAAGACATGCATTTTTTTTCCTTTTTGATTTCCCCCAACCTTAGTAGCTTAGACACTCACATCCCAATTGTCCTTTTTTTCCCTCTTGAAACGAGCACATCCAAAAAAGCATGTCCTCTTTCAACAAGATCTAAAACCCCCTTTTTTTTACTCTTGAAGATTTCCCAAAACAGATAGATTTACATGTCTGAAAGCCTCGTCGAGTTGGAATAAGAAAGTACTTGAACCGCGAGCAATAAAGAGGAAGTTTCATAAAAGAAAATGACTGTAAAGCTTGGCCTTTAGACATTATTGAAGAGCACGACCTTTCCATGAGACAAAGAGAACAACGCCAGGGTATAGGAATCATTAGCCTCCGAAAAAAAAAAAAAAAAAGCAAAAAAAGCAAGTCATTTCTGCGCCAAACACCCAATGGCTTGGATATGGCAGAAAGTAAAATAGCAATACTATCATCGGACTATCCTCGGTCTTTTGAGATTGAGATTGTCCGGGAAACGGGATACGTGTAATCAACCATGATTACAAGTCCCTCACACCCTGTATAATGAGTAAGTGATTAGCAAAGAGTCTAGTGAAAGTAGAAAACGAGGAAGGAGATAGAGGTGAAAACATACAAAGAGATAAGCAAGTTCCCTGGCATCCAGACGGGAGACATTCATAGTACCACCCTCATCGAGAGCACCACTGATCAGCTCACGCTTCTGGTCCTGGAGAGTAACAATGCGATCCTCGACGGTATTCTCAATAAGCAAACGGTGAACAAAGACCTCTCTAACCTGCCCGATACGGTGGGCGCGATCAACAGCCTGGTCTTCAATGTAGGGATTCCAGAAAGGATCGAACATGATAACATGCGAGGCGGCGACGAGGTTCAGGCCTGAGTTACCAGCCTTGAGTGAGACGAGCATGACCTTGCATGCGGGATCGTTGGTGAAAGCCGTCACGGCGGCGTTGCGTTCTTTCAGATCCATGCTGCCGTCGAAGCGGGTGTGGTTCCATCCGCGACGGGCGAGGGGGACTTCGAGAAGATCCAAGAGCGAGGTGAACTGGCTGAAAATGATAGTTTTCTCTTCTAGGCCACGTTCCTCATTGGCTTGGAGGATCTCGAGCGTCTTGGTGATTTTTGTGCTGGGGAACCAGCCCTTCTCGAGGCGGCGAAGGTATTTCTTCTTCTCAGCTTTGTTCTTCAGGGCGTCCTTACGCAACTCGGCTAGAGACTTGGATTTCTTCTTTGATCCCCCCTCACTCTCTTCGGTAGAGCTATCGGAGTCATATTCATCACTGCTCGCTGTTGCTTCTGAGTCTTCCTCGTCGTTGGCCCCGCCAATGCCACCGTCTCCGGTAGCAGATTCGGCCATCGTGCTGGGATCGTGAACTTGTTTGAACGAAATGGTGTCGGTGAGCTTCGTGGGGTCCACAGGTCCTCGGCAGTTCTGACACTTGATCACAGTTGGACCATCGTCTTCGAGGTTGATGGCTCCATTTGCAGCTGCCGAGTCGGAAATGCGGATCCAGCACTCCGAGCACACATGGTGTCCACATGGAATGTAAATAGTCGCATTTTTGACACTGTCCATACAGACAGGGCAGGTGCCATCCTCTTCGTCGTCATTTTCTTTAATACGCTGGACTACAGCATCGCTCAGAAGCTTGGCGTTGGCGATCTTATCTACCCCTGGGATAGACGGGGAAGGTTCGTTTCGGAACTCCTGCATGAGGAGTGGATGGCAACATGCCTGCCGAAGACGAAGAAGCAGAACTAGAACATGACTGTAGTTTCTGCCCAGCGTTCCGGAGTCGAGGTATCGGGTGATCTGCCTTTGAGTAGACGTATTGAGCTCCTCATAAACCTGGCTTTCCCTCTCGTCAAACACAACGTGGACCTTCTCGGTGACCTTTGGTGGAAGTTGCAAGATGGGCTCGCCATCAATCTTGGAGGATTTTGTACGTCGGAGACAGACTGACTTGACTAGGACGCGTAGTTGCTTCATAACATCCTCTCCTCCCCAGCCAGATTTGATGCGTCTCACGAAATCCTGCATAAAATATGAATGTTAGTCACCCAGAGAAGGATCAACAGGGATCTATAGAAAGTACTAACCGCCTTGAACTTTGCTGGGTTGCTGTAAGGTCGGATCCGGAGGAATCCCAATAGGGACTGGAAATCTTCGAGACGATTCATCATGGGCGTACCGGTCAGACACCAACGGTACGTAGAATTAAGTCGACAGCATGCCATTGAAGACTTCGCGCTTGGATTCTTGATGTTCTGTGCCTCGTCGATGATGACTCGGTGCCACTTGGCGGCAGGACAGAGTGGACCCGCCAAATCTTTGCGTTCTTGAACGTGTGTGGCATGGTGCCCTTCCTCCGCCATCTTTTCCGCCCCGAGCAATGTTTTGTAGTGTGCAGTAATGGTACCAAACGTTGTGATAATGACATCGTACTTTTTGAGCTCCTTCCAGGGCCTGCGCCGTTGATGGTATATCAAGACTGATAATTGGTGCCTTCCTGGCTTGACATGGCGCTGAATTTCGAGTCTCCATTGATCCATAAGTGCCTTGGGTGCGACAATCAAAGTCGGGCGTCGGTCTTCATCTTCGAATGGACGAGCAACCATCAGCGCAATCGCTTGGATAGTCTTACCAAGGCCCATATCATCTGCAAGGATTCCTCCTTTGTGATTGCTCTCTTCCTTAGCCTTCATCCATTTCAAGCCGATCTTCTGGTGTTTCATCAATGTAACTCGAAGCGCATGTGGTGTCTCCTCATTGTCCGCTCTAGTTGCCTCTCGAATGTCTTTGATACCGCCGAGTAAGTTCTTGATATCTTCAGGGAACTCTTTCTCATTGTAGGCCCTATGTTGAACGAGTTAGAATCATAAATTGCTGTTTTAAAAGAAAGATACGGAACATACACTATGTCAGCATCGTCATCGAATATTTCGTTCTGGTTGCGAATAAGGTCAAAAGCCTTCTCGAACTTGTCAAATGCACCAGGCATTGGAGTGCGTGAAGGGTCACGCGCCCAGGGCAAAACTCTGGAGGAAACTGCTGATGGGGGATAGGACATCTTCGAGGGACTCGACAATTGGGAGGGATAGGCCATGTGGGAAGGATACGCTAGTTGGGAAGGATACAACATTTGGGAGGGGTATGTCAACTGAGAGGGGTATTTCATTTGGGAGGGGTATGTCAACTGAGAGGGATATGGCATCTGCGAGGAATTGGGTCCATTCGAGGAATATGGCGAGGGAAGAGAAGACGCGTGTGGATAGGTGAAGGAATTAGATTGGCGGGCTGGCTGCTTGCCGGATCGAGAATTAAACGAATCAGCAGTGATTTCTTGAAGATCATCGTCGGAATTGAATGGAGTGAGTTTATTGAATGGGGCTATCGGGGCATGTGTTTGACGGGCAGAAATGGTTTTTGATGAAAATGGCTCCCGTTTTACCGGTTGGCTGCGGTCTGGCAGATCCCATCCATTCTGCTCACTGAAGCCATTGATGGCACGTTGACTGTGATCCTCGTCGGCCTGGAGTACACGAGCCAATTCTTCGTCTCGTTTCAATAGAAATTCTCCTTCAATCAACCTCGCCTGCTCATCACGCTCTTCTCGGAGCTCCGTTACGTGAGCTAGATCGTCACCTGCCGCATCGATCCATTGGTTGTACACGCGGTTACTCTCGGCAAGGGTGGCTTCTTTTTCGGCATCTATCGCGTCGAGTTGAGATCTGCGAGATTCAGACTGCGAGGGAGCAATTCTTTTTGATGACCCCTGTGTCGTGGGCGAGGCGTGCGATAGTGGACGCTGGCGTTTACGAGAATTATCTGGAGAAGACTGCATCATTGGTGAAGCTGGCAGCACCGTCGAATTGCGGGAATCGGCCGCGAAAGGCGAAGGTGCAGCCGAAGGCCAGTGAGGGGATGCAAATGAATCTCCCGGGATTCCAGTGAAAACATTCGACGGCATGCGTGGAGCAGCCGCAGGCGTCCGGACCTGCGAAGTGGGCGACGACACTTGTGGTGTCGGGGCGGCTTGAGTAACAGAAACAGGACTACCAAGGAGTGCGGCAACCTGGACTTCCATATTCCTGATGGTAGCACGAAGCTCGTCTGCTTCTTCACAGTCGCCCCGCGTTGCGAGGAGATCATCGTAGATGTATCTGTAGGTATCGAGATCTTCTAGAAGATCTTTGATTTTGTCCTCTTGGGACTGATCGACCGAAGAAGCCATGGCTCAAGAGCACCTGGCGCTGACCGTGAAACCTTTCAAGACCAAGATATCTGACCAAATTATCCCGATCGTTGATAGCGTGGTAGAGCGACGACGGCGATGGGTGTGACAGGTAGGACAAAAGACAAAGTCCAAGATCAACGGAGCTATGACGTTAAGTGGGCGCCTAGGATGAAGAGCGAAGTGTGCTGGGAAAATTAATCGGCGAAACTTGGAGTTCTCATCAGCAAACGGCTAGGCAGAAAGCGGGTGGTGGCAGATGGCACAGGGACGAAGATAAAGAAAGCGCAAAAGCAATTCATCACACTGTGTCTCTATGTCACTTAATCTGGGTATTTGCAGAGAATGTAGACTTACGTCGAGTATTCATCGACGATTCACTGGGGCGAATCTGTGGTTGACGGAGCGGATTGTAGGACCTCGGGAGCGAAGAGGTGGCGATTGTAAAAATGAGAGAGCGGTCGTTTGTATAGTGTAAAAGATCCGATGAAGAAGGCACAAGTGTTGACGCTCTTTGCGACCGCTCAGCTGGCCCCCGGGGTCGAGGTGTTCACCCTGCGGGGGAAGTTGAAGTTCTCGCTCAAGATGTCATCATCTATCGCAGTTCATAGCGACCACTAGCACTTTGGTTCTGTTGACTTTTATTGCCAGCAGAAAATTGACCTTCTGAAAAGACATTTCGAAAGACTATCTAAGAGATATTCAAAAGACATTTAAAAAAGACCTTGAAAAAGATATGAAAAGAGATATTCATTAAAATACCGTTCATATCACGTTGGTATCAGATTAAAGTCATCTTAAGCCAACGAGACATTCAGAATATTCAAGTCCTATACCGGCAAGAATAGAGACAGTATAAGCGGCGAACTACTCTGTTTCTATATGGATGAGCAACTCGCTCTAGATCTACAGAAACTTCCTATCAGAAAGTTGATATAACAATTCAAGTGCTCTATATGATAACTATGCAGTATGAGAAGTATAAGAAGTGACTTTGAAAAAAGGCGGAGATGAGAGCGGTGGATCTGAAAAACCAATTACGACCAAATTCGCTCGTGGCTGCTATCCACTGCTGTAGTTGTCAGCACCTGTCAAAAGGTTCCACGAGGTACTTTTACTTGAGCCTCCTTCAGGCACCGTGGTTTTATTCATTGTTGTGTGTAGTACAGAAGCACTGAGGTTTTACAGAAAAGGTTCTTTAGTAATATAGAGATGATTACTGAGAAGTACGTAGGTAATTCTACGCATTTCCCTGCATCACTGCATAACCTCTCATTGATGTAGACGCGCTCTTATCAACACGTGACCATGCGCGTCACGCGCCAAACAAGCCAAATATAGGGCTAGGTGCAACTTGCCCTAATATCCAAATTGGGTACTGGACACCCTAGGCAGCAACTGGGCATCTGTGCAGGTAGTTCTAGTTTCAGCCATATCGGCGGAGTAGTTTCAACATTTCGATCATGACTATGAGAGGTTGCTATGGCCCATATGGTGCCTGGGCTGGACGAATTGTCCAATCGCATGTTATAAGACAAATAGGAGTACAACATTCGAAGTGCAGCTCGGGCTACAACTGGTTCTGATATTTAGATCAAGGGAAATATACTTACATGTAGCTAAAACATAAATAAGGGGGAATAAACGGTGTGCATGTGCATTCAATGTAAGGTCTGAAGATAGGATACTTGTATGTGTACGGTGAATCGCAGGAATTGAGAAATATCAAACTTGTCCATTTCGACTACCAATCATCTACGTGTAGTGCCCATGTCTCGATCAAGCGAGCTGCTGCTTCAGTGGTATATATGTGCAAAATGTTTCTTTAGGAACCGACGATCGATCGATCATGACATCAGAACAGGGACTGGCCCGACTATGGAAGACGAAGTGCATCCAACAAATTCTCGCAAGCCATCTAGAGAGCGAGGATCTGACTGCATACCGTCTAGTATGTCGTAAGTTCGCAGTCTATCTCGCACCAATTATCTTCGCGGACATCGAAATATGTTTTCGCAGCAGTACCTTCAACAGGCCATCTCGAATGGCAGCTTTGGAGCGCATTGGGGGGGGCACGTCCAGGCTATGACGTATAAGATCTCATATAACAGGGAGACCTTCTTACCTCCAATCCTGGATCCAATCATGGGGACAGAACAAAAATTCATCTACACACCACAACGGTGCCAACTTGGCAGTAACAGCCCTAGATATGGCAGCCGGAAGATGGCAGAGCTGTTAGTCAAGCAGTATCCGCCTCTGTTCCATGCAGCTACCAACATCCCGTCATTTGTCCAAGCATTGACAATGATGAGCGGCTTGCAGCATCTGCGAATCTCTTGTGAGGGCCAAGTGCCCAGCCATCGCTACCGCCGAAGTGTAGTAGACTATGCATTAATCTCATTGCGAATGGCAACCGAACAAGCACCGTTGAAAGGTCTCCACACTCTGTCACTGTTATCAGTGCACCAAGGAGCAGTTCTTTACCTGCGTCCAGCTCCAGGATTTGGTGCTTCGCCTGCATCTTGCAAGCGCTGGATCCAGATCCGCAAGCTCACGCTCCATATATCGAGTTTCGGCCATGAGCCAGGTCAACCGACAGACCACCTCAAGCTTCTCCATGCATACTTAGGTAGCTTCCCATCTCTGCGAAGACTGGTCTTTCATTGGGAAGGCGAGAGGGGCCTCTCACCCTTGTCACTTGCAACAGAGCCGAGCCTCAACAGCGCAGCCAAACGAAGGCCAAGTCAAGCATGCCCTCAGAAGTGCGCGTTACCTTTACGGCCATTGACATTCCAAAATCTTTAACATATGGAGCTGGTTAATGCAACAATGGACGCGTCACAAGCCGCGTCTTTCGTCCGGGAACATCGCAGTTCCCTGCGAGAGTTCAATTTCCAAAATGTGGTACTTCGTAGCGGTAATTGGGACGACGCACTCGCGCCATTGACACAACTCAGCGGCGGCGAAGGATGGAGGCAGGGCCAGCGCGAAGCCGACACTGCGGATGTCCCAATAGTGTTGAGTCCAGCGGGAGTCAGCCGGAAGCAGTTACAGAAAGCGATTTGCGCTTTGCAGCAACAAAGGGAACAGAGGACGCTAAGAAGCTTGGCCAAAGCGCGATCTCGGACACGCGAGCTGCTGTGGGGGAGCCCGGATCATATGAAGCGATTGCTGAGGTCTTCGGTGTTTAGTTGAAGGTGACGTCAGAAAGGGTTCGCAAAGTTTTCATCCGAGGGAGGATCAGCATGTTCTAATGAATGTAGTAGTGTCGCGATGAATACCGGATTTGTACAACATTCAGGTCCCAATGCAACACAAGCGCGGTTTATGTGGAGACGGGGGGAAATGACAACACGGGGAAGACTGGAAGAAAGGGCTGAGACCTCGGGAATAGGAGAAGTGTGCTGATCTTAGTCAAGTCTGGGCAAAATCCCAGAGAATCAAGAAGAAAATGAACCAAAACAGAATGGAAGAATCACAGACACGAGAGAGCTTGTGGGGAAGATGTGGGTTGGGGGCCTCGGCACCCGCGGACGGTCAAGTCAGTTCACATGCTCCAACAGATTGTCATTTATAGTCGGTCACCCGCCTTGACTTACCAACTCACACTTGTACTACCACATTCACCATGTCTCTCAAGAAAGGTATGCCCCCTTTTTCTACCTGTTTATACCCGTCAGTACCAGCTAACCAAAATAGATTCCCACCCCTCGTCCGCTGCCTTCGACGTCATCAACCAGACGCTCCAGGCCAATGAAGCCGACCGCAAGAATGCCCTCTCCCAGGCTAAGGCCATCTTCTCCTTCAACCTGAAGAACTCCAGTGGCGAGGAGGCTGCCTGGTACCTCGATCTCAAGAACAAGGGCGAGGTTGGACAGGGTGCTGCCCCTGCTGGCAGCAAGGCTGATGGTGAGTTTACATGCCTAATCTGCGTGTTGATGTGTCCCGTTTTATACATACAAAGGCTGATTTCTCTCCTTCAAAAGTGACCCTCTCCCTCTCCGACTCCGATTTCGCCCAGCTCGTTTCCGGCAAGGCCAACGCTCAGCGTCTGTTCATGGGTGGCAAGTTGAAGATTAAGGGTAACATCATGAAGGCGACCAAGATGGAGCCTATCCTGAAGAAGGCCCAGAGTGGTGCCAAGCTGTGAAGATTAGATACCCTTTTGAGAAATTATATACGAAGTCCCTCTTCTGCCAGGGCCCTTATTTTTGGCTTTCTACATAGGAATATTTGGTTGTTCACATTCGAGTGTACAAATGATCTTGATATGTCCTAATGACCGCGGTTCGAACCGACGAATACCGACTCTACAAGTCCCGCACATGCCCCTGTCTCGAAACCCGCCCCTGATCTAGAACGATAAAGTAATCCGCATCCTTGACAGCTTCTATACGATGCGCAATCGTAATTACAGTAGACTGCTGCAACTCCTCCCGGATAATTTGCTGAATCTCAAGAGAGGTATCATGATCAACAGAGGCAGTCGCCTCATCGAGAATGACAATCGCGCTTCGACGAAGGACAGCCCGTGTCAGAGCAATAAGTTGCCGTTGACCCTGGCTAAGATTCCTTCCTCCAGCTTCAATATGTGTTCCCAGATGCCAGCCGTGTCGACTACACAGACGCTCCAGGATTTCGGTGCACAGTTCATCGGAATATTCTTCCGTTGGGTCCAGATTGAGCCTGATGCTACCAGGGAAGAGGACGGGATCTTGTGCGACAAAAGTAACTCGGGTGCGTAATGCTTGTGTGCTGACATCGGCGATATTGATGCCATCAATGAGAATGCGACCGGACTCAGGTCTGATGACGCTCAGAAGGGACATTGCTAGTGTTGACTTGCCACTGCCAGTACGGCCGATAACCGCTGTCGTGGATCCACCGGGAATACAAAGAGAGACGTTTATGAGCGAGGGATCGAGATGTGGTGCGTAACGGAAGGTTGCGTCTTCGAAGACAACGTCGCTGCCGTACGTCGGCCATGCAGCTGGGGGAGCGATGGTACCGGGGGTTTCTTCCTCAATGTGGAGTAGTTCGTCGACTCGCTCTACCGACACAAAGTCCATTTGAAGTTGGCCATACTGCTTGCACAATGCATGTGTGGAATCGACAAAGTTGTTCGCAGCAATAAGCACGAATGCTACCAGTCCCGGTGTGGTATTTGTGTACAAGGCTAGAGCTGTTAGACAAAAGGTTGAAAAAGCGGATAAGCTCTCAAACCGGTACATGAGCCAGCTCTGGAGTGACCAGTAGAAATGATCCATTCCCTGGAACTTGTCAACCACGGATATAACCCGGTTCTGGAACTGCGACTCTGCATGGAAAGCTCGGACAGTGGTCAGACCATGCAATAGCTCTCCGAAGTTGGACAATAAAGGACTTAGGGACACCATTTCGAGTCGTCGTAGGCTCTGAGACGTGGGAAGAAAACGCAGGAATACCAGGACGAATGCGACTGTGAGAGCTAGGGAGAAGAACAAAAACACCGGAGTAGCGGTTGCTATTACCAGGATGGAGGAGATCCAAATGATAACCTGGAACGCGATCACCTGGAATTGTTCACTAATATTGCCATCGACGACTCCAATATCTGATGTGAGACGGTTCATCAAGCGCCCGAGAGGGATTGTATCTTTGGAATGATTGGTTAGCTTTATCCTATTGAGCCAGTCTATATATCTTACCCAAGTATCGGAAGGTCGCATGGCTGACTCGGACCAAGACCCGTCGGAATAAGGACTGTCCAGCATAGTAAACAATGACTAGCATTAGAAGCTGAGCGACAAGTAGCGTGGCCGCTTGGAAAGAGATGATAGCGAAAAACGTCCATAGCCAGGGTCGCACATCCTCACGTGGAGACGGTAGTTGGTCTATAGGGTTCTGAGGCGTAAAGTATGTGTCGATGTTCAGACTCGAGACTGACCAGGTGTCTTGTGACGACCTATTACTCGAGGTTGAGAGATCCTCTTGAAAAACAGTTGTCCGTTCGTAAGCTTCTCCCCACCCTTTGAGGAACCATGATTGACCAACAGCCATCAGTCGGTAAATTGCCAGGATGAGGACGAGGGTAAGCCACCATCGATACTTTCCTGCCTTAACATAATTCCAGTAGACTCGAGCCTTTACACCCCCGTCTGCTCGATGCTCTTCCTCAATGAATTTATCAGGCACGGCAGCCGTTTCCTCCTCGAGGGTAGTTTCCACTTCTGTTTCATTTTCATGGTCGATAAATTGCAGGGACGACTCGGTTACGTCAAGCTTGATGGCATCCTTATCGTAAACGGTGGCATGCTTTTCACAAATATCAATGATTTGATCCGCAATTTGACGAACCAAGGCAGTTCGATGTGTCACTAGAACGATGGATCGGTCTTTCATCAATGGCCCTGAAAAGCATTTGCGGACTATCGATTCCGCGGTATTATGATCTAGTGCAGACAAGGGATCATCCAAAAGCAGAATCCGCGATGCGCTATAGACAGCTCTCGCCAGAGCTACTCGTGCTTTTTGACCACCCGATAAACCAATGCCATTCTCACCCACAAACGATAAATCGCCATGTTTGAATTGAGCAAGATCCGGAAGCAAGGCACAGGCTTCTAGTGTCCGCTTATAGCGCTGGTCATGGTAGGGAGCAGAGAATAGGATGTTATCACGAATGCTCATGCTTTGTAGCCACGGTGTTTGAGCACAATATCCCACCATTTCGTTTGGAATATGGACTGAGCCGCTCAGTCTATCGAGTTCTCCCAAAAGAGCTTGCAGAAACGCGGTTTTTCCAGCACCGACCTTGCCGGTGACAACAGTCAGTCCTTTGGGGATGGTGACATCGATATCAACCAGGACTGGTGAGGCTTTTCCTGGCCATGCGAACGAACAAGATTGCATGGAGAGTGGCGTGTCGTTCGACATGGGTTCAGAAGGCAGACTTTCCTTGTCTGGTTCGGACATGAAGTCCTCAATACGCCCAAGTGCAATGAAGGCATTGATAAGCGATGTGATAAGACCAGGGATATCCCGAAGACGGGTCTCTAGCATGGTAAACAACTGCAATGCAGGGAAGATAATATCGATCCGCAGCTCATGTCCAGCCAAGAATGTATATGCGTATAACGCAACCACCGGAAACACGCCGCTGGCGAAAGCGTTGATAAAGCGAATCAAGATACTCCACAGACTGGTCACAATCCGAATATTCAACTCATGTTGTCGGGCATCCATTACCTGCTGAAGCCAATGATTCTGCCATCCGTACCATCGCAGGTGACGGATTGCTTCCACGAATTGTGAAGTTATTTGGAGTCTTGTATCCGTTGCTACTCGTCTGACCCGCTCCCAGCGGAGGAGGGCTCTGGTCACTAGTGCATTCACAATTTGTGCAACCACAACAGCTAATATTCCCAGGAAGCAAGATGGACCGAAGAGTGTCCAGACAAGGAAGGTAGCGATTAGCAGCCCTAGTGGCTTGTCAATCAACGAGTCAACCTCCCAGAATCTCTGTGCCACTTCATATACGTCTCCGCGCAAGAGATTGAAGATTTTGCCAAGTGATGCAGCTTCTTTGGCTTGTTTGCGTGGGGGCTTTGGGTTGCGAGAAATGATGCGTTTCCAGAAACTTTCCTCACTTTTCGTTGGGGATTCATGGTTCTCTTGGACTACAGCCTCATCATTGATTCCATTTACTTCTTCGTCGGATGGCCCTGGCTTGCCCTCGATCATCAGTCCAGAGATGTTCTTTCGTGAAAGGGCTTTTTCATAGACCATCATGATCATTTCACCCCTCGACCGTTCATAGCTTCGTCTTCCGTACCACAGAAGTAACACCTGAGACTGTGCAGCGACAAGTCGGAGAGCGAAGGACATGAAAGCGTAGGTCAAAGGGACGCGTTTTGGTCGAGATGGGTCGTTCATGGCCTGCAATAGTTGCTGCAACAAAACGGGGGTGGAAAAGTCTGTTGATATTATTAGCGAGACAGAGCAAAAGAAGATATCTGGATTTCCATACCGCATATCATTTGGACAAGCGATATGGTAGAGATGATAAAAACGTCAATTCCATTGGCTCTCAACAATCGACCGAGGACAGAACCACGAAGTCGACGAAACTTCTCATGTAACCGACTGTGTTGAAATTCAAATCCAAGTAGCCAAACATCTTGTTCGTGTAGTTGTCTTTTGCATCCAGTTGAGATAAGCGGTGCCATCCATGACACTGTCAGGAATTGCCAAAGTCTTAGGTTATCTTCTGGACTCCGGAAGTCATCACATGGCTGTTGACCAACAGCACTGATATCTATTGATGGTAATGAAGGTTCACGGAACGGCATTAGGAGGATTGTCGCACAGGCTGCCGCGGCCGCGGCCGCGGCGATGTAGCGAGCAACAATTTTGAATTTCGGGCATACATCTGGGTGAGTCGCCAAAGAAAGTTCAACTGCAAATACTAAGACATAATATGCGAGCATCGATATGGAACATGATCTGGGCCGCTTGGCGGTGATTAGACTAGATGCTGTCGCCTAAAGAAGAATGTGAGTAATTGATACCTTTAGAGACGATGACAACTAACCCATGAGAGAACAAGCACAAAAGCCGAGGTGTCAATTCTCGGGGGAACAAATTGGACTGTTTCGGCTAGAAGCCCAGTAGCCGAAAATATAAAAAGAGAGATAGTCCATCGCAACGCTTGCTTGGGCTGACCTAGCGGGAGCTCTTGTATATCATGTTGCTCAGAAACAAAAGGAACCGTCCACTTGGGGCGCCATCGCCGGCAGAAGTATCCAAGTACATGGCTTAATGCAATAAGCAATATTATTATGGCCGGGATACATGCTAGATAGGGCAATACACAAGGTGATAGCCACGCATTACGCGAGTCCTAGATTGGTCAGTTGGTGCGAGCCGAAGCAAGGGGACCCATGAATTCATACCCAGAATTGGTTACATTGGGTTCTGGATGCACCCTGGACCAGCGGAATTTGATTCATGGTTGGTCCGAAGAGCAATGCCAGCTCGTCGCGGGGTGGCCTTGGGGTGACATCCCTTCGTGAAGGAACGTGGGGCTGGGTCAATATTCATCCGTTTGGCCGGTGCCATCTATACAGGCAGCTCCAAATTGGTGTTTGGTTCCCCATTGGAACATGATACAGGGGGTTGACAAATGGTGTACTTGATTGAAAGGAACCGAAATTAGGATTACCTTGTGGGAAATTATGATGTCGACTCTCCCAGCCTGTGCCTTCAACGTCAGGAAAAAGTGGGTATACTATGTATCGTGCACCTCGGCAGGGATGGTTCTCTCTATTTGTTACATGTTATTTACGAAAGTTGTGAAACTGGTCCGGAGTGGGTTAGTTTGGTTATAACGTTTTTTATTTTAATAGTGCATTAAAAAATGGTATTATTCTTAAAAAAAACTCAATAATAATGGCATGAATATCGAACAAAGAAACCTCCACCGCGCTAGTGGTCCTGGCGGGATTATCCGCCGGGCCCATTCAACAGAGTGGACCATGTATCGCCAACTCACAGGCTACTACATTCAAAGAAAATGGTAAAAGGCCAATGGCTCGTCCCAATACCATTGGCAGGTGGTACTGATTTTATGATTGAAGCGATACAGATTGCTTATCCCGACTCGGAACAAAAGAATCCGAAATTAAAGCGATTGCATAGACCGCCTAAGCACTCGTGTTTTACTATGCAATAACATAATAATTCCATGAATCTCTTGAATCAAAGAGCCGTCCACGGCAAATCGCTCGATGGTCTCGATCGTGTTCTTCTGCAGAACATCAATATCCGGTACCAATTGCGCCAGAGCCGGACAAACCGAGCCTAGGGTCATGAGAAGAATAGAAGAGAACATCCTAAAAGAGTCAATAATGAGTTTAGTTGTAGTATGGAGTATCTTATGGACATACGTATGAATAATTATCTCCGCGCAAGATGATGGCCCCGTCAATCTTCGCGTCGAGGCATCCAGATACGCTCGGCAATTAGCTATACTAGACTCGCACTGCTTGAGTACCATTGGTGGAAGATCATTCTCCGGTGACGAGTCAATTGCACAAAGAAGAAATGGCCTGGTTATGATATCCTTGGCGGAGTGAAAGCGGTGGAGCATATTGAGTTGAAGGCCAGTACATCGAGAAGGATCGTTAATATCTGGTTTAATTGTGCCCGGCAACAAGCTAAACCAATTGTCAAGCTGTCGGTCAAGCTCTTGAGAGACGCTCAGGATTGTAGAGAGTGACTGGAAGTCATACGATGGGCTGTCGCTTGAAGCTGGCTGTAGACCAAGGCTGCGCCTTGTCCAATCACTTCCGTACATGGTGTGGTGTACTCTATTGAGCAGACGACGGACGGACAGTTCGGCAAGGAAGACGTGTGTTTCTTGGGCATCATGGTTTGCAAAGGTTGGGAAAGGTGTCAGATCAATTACATGTTCGATACCACTTCGTGGTAAATGGTGTTCGGCTATTAGGTCACTATCATCAATATTAGTATAAAAGTGGGTCGTGCAAATTGAATCAGAAGACCAACCACTCGGTGTCGAATGCTGCCCATGATAGTAGAATAATGCTGGACTTGAGTTCATGATTATCTGGCGAGGCTTGGCTTCTATCGCAAACATATCTTTCATCAGTATATTTAAAATCAAACAAAATGGATAGGAAGTATTAACTAACCGGCTATTCAAATACTGGATACTGGTCGAAGCCATATGGATGAGTTTCCATGATTGCAGAGGTCGTAGAAGAAATCCGAAATATTTCGAAATGAGTATCAAACTCTGGGGCAGAGTGATTGTGGGACAAAAGGACAGTAAATATTCATTCATCAATATCTGCAACGCAGGTGAAATGAAGTCTGCCCCAGGCACCCAATATGGGGATATGGACTTTATTGGATCGACTTGCTCGAGAGCTGCAGATCCTAATGCAAGAACTGCAAGACATAGAGCAGAGTCACAGTCAACACCCAGACCGGCTCTAGTATGGTGATTATAAAGCCCCAAAAATTGGTCTTTGTCGAGGATTGGCATCTCAACATGGACGTGTTTGAAATATGCCTCCACCAGTGGATAAGTGCTCGCTTCATCCAGTATCGGCAACTGACTCGCTGTAATTGTACCTGGGACAAAAGATAATTGGTGTGGCATGTGCCTTTTTGATTCAGCGCGTATGAACAGGTCGGGTGGAAACTCCCCGAAGAGGGTCTTTACTCTATTCATATGCAGCATATATTCAGTTGTTGTTGTGTGCCCGATGGGAATACTCATAGGCGGGATGTCATGTTCAGGTGATATGAAAGAAGACGGATTTGTACTGATAAGCTGGGAGATATCTGCCGGGTTGGGCCTTGATGGGGACGAAATCAACATGGTAGAGGGATGAGAAAAGTCCGCTCTTTCGTGCTCAGATAACGATGGGAATGTAAAACCACCACTTCTTGTTTCACCAGTCTGAGGTGTTTGAGGGAGTCTCGGCTGACTCCATAGAAAGCTCTCAATTGCATCAAGACGGCGGAAGAATTCTGAGGAGGAAGTCTCTCCTCGATGCCTATCGGGGTTGAGAAGTGTTGCCAAGACTTTGGATAAAACGGGTCTCTCACCTCGAAGAATCACCTTCATTATAAACACAATCAATACCTGAATCCTCACAGAGGCTGCAGGAGGGTATCGCGCCATTGCAGCGGCGTTTCCTGCTTGTCCGTCAGCATAGGGAAACTCGGGTCGTGGAGTCACGGGACCCTACCGCCTCCGGCAATAGTTGCATGCTAAAGAAGCACGCTTACGGCCGCTTTCCATGTGGTAAGACTATACGGACTTCAAGGATCAACGCTACCGAGATGAACCGTTGGTGTTGACCGCTGTTGATACAAGGCGGGAAACTCCGCCGGGGATCCGCTTGTCCCGCCTTAGTCATCAGCACGCCCGCGGGCTTGCCCGCGGGGTTAGTGCTTACGATGTACTTTGTAGATAAGAGATATTAATATAACCAGCTCATCAGCCCCTCCTAGATTGCTTTTCGATTTCTTCTCTTTGATTCATTTGGAGAAGGTCTCGCTCTGAACTGCGCATCTCATCTCCATTGACACTTCACCCTACAAGAAAGCAGCCCCTTTACCGACCAGGCGACTTAAAAACACATACCAAAGCTACATACCACTCTTGTTCGATTTTGTTTTTCTTTTCCTAAACGGTATATACTGCACAGTTAGGTAGACACCTAACCAAAATATATATCATCAAGCTCACTCTTCAAACTCCATTATGATTGAAGCCGTAGACATGGCCGCATCCGGCAATGAAATTGAGTCGGGCCGATCATTTTTCGGGAAACTGTCGGCTCCACCCAAGTTCCCCGGAGCGCTTTCAGAGTTTTTTTTGGGCTTGGCCGGGGTTACCCGATTCTTCTTAGTCTTTGAAACATATTGAAACATTTTGGAGCTTATCAGATTTTTCAATCTAGAGTCTAAAGTCTTGACCTGACTCGTGTGGAAAGTCACCATGTTTGACGGAAAGAATGCCGCGGACGGCAAGGTCGATGGACCCGTCGAAAATGACTTGGAGAAAAAATTGGACGCGAAGCAATTGGAGCCCTTTGGAAATGAAGAGACTGCGGAGATCAAGTATCGGACTATGAAATGGTGGTAAGTTATTATTGTTTGCACAAAGATTGTAAATTCTATCATGGGCATGGCTAATCATCTTTCAACAGGCACTGTGGAATGCGTGAGTAGCTAAATTTGAGATATCGTGCATATCGAAAGCTTCGACTTCTAACTTCAATTCCAGTTATGATTGCTGAGAATGTCTCTGTTGGAATTCTGTCTTTGCCATCCGCAGTGGCTACCCTAGGAATGGTCCCGTACGTATTTCTTTTGACGGCTTCGAAACCCCATGACTAAAACTGTTGACCAGAGCTGCTATCATGATTCTGTTTGTCTCTGCCCTTTCATGGTATACCGGCTATGTTATTGGCCAATTCAAACTTCGTCATCCCGAAGTTCACAGCATGGGAGATGCCGGCGAGATCTTGATGGGTCCTTTTGGCCGTGAGTTGCTAGGACTTGGCCAGCTTCTGCTATTGATCTTCCTGATGGCAAGTAACATTCTGATGTTCAACATCCTGATGAATGTATTGACCGATCATGGTACTTGCACGTTGGTGTTTGGTGTTGTTGGACTGATCATCTGCTTCTTGGGCGCTTTGCCTCGTACTATGGACAAAGTCTACTGGATGTCCGTCATCTGTGAGTACAGTCCTCATCTAGTGCAGCCATGACACCGTTCAATTCAGAGAAGAACTCGGCTGACCGGTACCTAGCATTCTTGAGTGTCTTTGTTGCGACAGTGTTGACCATGATCACTGTGGGAGTCGAGAGCAAGGGACATATCAAGAACGAGGCTACCACGGATGTCAGCTTCCGTGACGGCTTTTTGGCGGTGACAAACATCATTTTCGCTTACCGTACGTGAAACACCAAATGATGCTAGTCATCAGCAGCTAATAAAGCAAACCGAGCTAATCCAAGGACCATCTTCTAGTCGCTCACGTTGCGTACTTTGGCTTCATGTCTGAGACAGAAGACCCACGCACATTTAATAAGTCACTTGCCATGCTTCAAATCGTCGACACCGTCCTGTACCTTGTTAGTGCACTGCTCATCTATCATTACGTGGGACCGGAAACAGCCACCAGCCCCGGTGTCCAATCGCCTGCCATTCTCTCTCTGAGCCCGTTGATGAGCAAGATTGCCTGGGGCCTTTCAATTCCGACAGTGAGTATATCTTTTAAATTCGCTTGTTTTCTGTATGCACCTTACTGATTCAATACAGACCATCCTTTCCGGAGTTGTCTTGGGTCATGTCGCGTGCAAATACATTTACGTGCGTATGTTCCGTGGATCCGACAAGATGCACCGCCGAAGCTTCCTGTCGATTGGATCCTGGGTCGGTATCTGTCTCGCAGTCTGGGTTATTGCCTGGATCGTGGCGGAATCCATCCCGGTATTCAATGATCTACTCAGTCTGATTGTAAGTCTTTTATCGAATCCCATTTGACTCAGAACGTCAGCTGATACGGAAATTACAGAGTGCGGTCTTTGGAAGTTGGTTCAGCTGTAAGATTGACCCCCTCTTCCCATTATCGAATTTCTCAAGACCTAAACAAGTACTGACTTTGATTAGTCGGACTCCCTGCGATCTTCTGGTTCTATATGAACAAGGGCCGTTACTTCCAGAACTGGAAGAAGGCTGTTTTGACGATTACCAATATTTTGGTCTTGGCTATTGCCTTTGCTATTGTAAGTTTCCTCCTGCTTGGTTTTGTTTATAGTGGTTAATCTTTTCCAGTGCGGGTTGGGATTATGGGTGTCGGGTGTCGCAATTCACGAAGACTCCGTTTCCAAAAGTTGGACCTGTGCCAACACTGCGTGATTGGCAGTAATGACCCTCGGAAGGAAGACCCTTCTCTTCTAAAAAAAAAGTACATAGATTCACTGTTAGATTTAGATCTGTTAGACTACATACTCAAGCTTCTCTTATAGACCATAGCTTTTTAGCATAATATCATGATGCATTTCGGGCTTTCTCTTTTGGGTCAATTTAAGCTCATAAGCTTCCCTCGGAACCACGGTTTCGCCAAAATCTTTGTTTACCTATCTACGTTGTTGAAATGGCTTGTCAAATTTCAATGCCAAGATACACTAGTCTTCAACCAAAATAGTCCCGGGTTAGCAATCTTCCTCGCTCAGAATTGCTTCCCTTTCCATAAGCCAACGGGAAACTAATGTGTTTGGCTAAGTTTGCCTGCCAAAAGGATTGGGAACAGCAGGTTTCCAGCGCCAACCCATCTCTTGTCGCCAACCCGAGGAATTGCCCCCGCTAAAACGCCGATCATCTGAGATGTCCGACGATCGCATGGATCCACACTACACTTGGCCCCTGGTTTTGTTGACTGATTTGTGTGCATCAAGCCAAGCGAAGCTTAGTGGGCTGGTGAAGTCAACACTCGAGGACAATCTCGAGTCCAATTCCGACCAATATTTTGGGACATCTGCCCAAGCCGAAAATGCCACTCCCAAAGTCAATGTCAATGTCCGTGTATGGTCACCACCTCGTCGCCTTCTAGAGTCTATTGCCCAAGGAGGTCCACGTCGCGACAGTCAAAGCAATCTCTATGCCCTTGCTATCTTAGCATACCGGTCGGGTCGGCCAAGAATCATCGTGGCGGATGAAACGACCAATCGTCAGCTGTCAGGAAGATTTCTCACAGATCGTGATCTATACTCAATAAGGGAAGGAGGGCGCATCTCGGTGATTCTCTTATCCACACAGAAGAATCCTGACTCGGGTGAATGTTCTGTTTTCGCAAGACGTGCTGTGTGCTCCCCACAAGAAACCATGTTCAATCTCGATGACATAGACTATATGTATAGTGATAATGATCCTCAAGCAAGGCCGTTCAAATCTGTTCACAAATCATGGGGGCCCTTGTGGACGCACGGCCAAGGATGGAGAGGAATCATTTTACATGATCCGGATGAAGAACCGTTCAAGTCCGGGACGGCAGATATTCTAGGAAGAGAGTACTATGCCAAAGCCGTAACGACTGCTCTCGGTCGCTATCTACCCACCGAGCTGGCCATCCAAGTATCCAATACGAACAGCCTCCCGATCAAGATGCCGGTATGGAATCGTCGTCCTAGCAGGACACATCTAGTCATCTTCCTCATGTATCCTACATCGACCCAGGATTTGGAAAACACGTACCAAAAGCTAGTGGAGGTGGTTCCAACAAGATTTCTCTACACCCGCGATAGGGTTTCAACAACAAAGTCAGACAAGGGACTCGTTCTGGAGACCGAGGAGTGGTACACCGAAGCCCACATGACACTGGAACTTGTTCCGTGGGATAGGCACCGCATGAAGACCCGTCGAGACCTCGTCAACTTCTGGAATGAATATCGTACGTGGGATGCTCAATTGGGGGAAAACAGAAATGGAATCATGCCTTTGCTCTATCTCCGCAGACCACTATCTGCTCTAGACGAGGCGCAGTTTGGCGTTCTTACATGCAAGCCCCTTAAGACAAATCCATTATTCACGCTGAAAATGACGTTCGTCGATATTTGCATTGACATGGAAAAGTTTGGCTGTGTGCGTCATTTCATTACCTCTGACGTTCACGCTCGCGACGAAGGTAACAAAGAGATACTCTGCCAGCCAGATGAACCATTCTTTGTCGATCCACCTCTCTGGCTACCTATCATCACGGAAAGTTGGGTTCGAACCGTGGTCTTCCTCACGAACCAGTTAAGCAACGACGCAAAACAGACATTGGAACAGCTTATCATGCCACCCATTGACGTGGATTCGGACGGGTCCGATTACGATTCCCGAGATGGACAAATATTCCCTGAGTATTCGACCGTACCTTGGCGTGAGGGCGCAGCTATGATCGATGGAAATGTTAAAGATATCTGGGAGCTCGTTCGGGCGCTTTACGTGTATCCTAAAACGCCTAGACGAGGCACAATATCCTTCGTTTGTGTCGATCGGCAGTTTGAGCTAGATCAATCGGTCATTCTAGTTCAAGCAGATGAGTGGGACTCTGACCTGGAGCATGATTTACTCCAAGGCCTGCCCTTCCCGCGCTTGAGAGGGTTCAAATATACTCGCGCCTCTGCTGAGTTGGCATATTTTGAGAAGGAACACGGTCTCAATATCCATGCAGTGAATTACCATTGGTCAAAATATCGAAGACCGGGATGGCCGGCACCTGGAATATTACCTGATGATCCTGTAGAAGATATAGACTATGTTGACAGCAGTGCTTACCCCTGATTTTACCCGTGGAATATATGGAGGATGACCTGCTCTACTGACCTGTTTACCTACATAGTTATATAGGAGTATCTATGTTGACACGTTGGTGGGGTTGCATTTCCCGCTTCACAGCGCAAGAGACTATAGTAAAAACGAATGCACGGTATCCAAAATTCTGGAAATACCTCTCATTCAATGTATAAAGCGAGCGAAATTATAAAGGCGCACCTATCAGCGTAACAAGATAGAGAGGTAGAAGAATGGAAAGGTGAGAGTGTTGAGATCTCTTTATCCTGCAGTTGCATTCCTTGATAGTTATATTACTACATATACCAAGGTACAAGTTTATACTCCGTTGCTCCAATTATAGCTAGTTTGATTCTTGTCGTCATTTTGGCACCCCCCGGGCCGCTCCATCGTATCGACGAATGACATCATCCGGGGCTTCAAGGTTAACTCAACTGGATTTGGAATGTCAATACCCTAGAAGACAGACACAAAGAATGTGTGCCTCGAGCAAGGCATTTTTCAGTGTATTCGTATGTGAAAATATAAGTGTCTAATCAACGGTGCTCACAGCTCTATATTTCTGTATCGGCCTTCCTTCCAATTTATATGGAACCTCGGTTATATAACATAAATTATAAAACAACAAGGAATCATCCATCCTCCAGTATGCCGGTCCCCATGCGCTGACAGTAGTACCCCAGATTTTACTTCAATTGATTGCTCTCTTCGACTATTCGAAATTCCGTCTCCACCGTAATGTGACCATTCTGAGCACTATCCCTCCTGGTTCCACTCATCTCGACCTGTACGCCATGCGTAGTCAACAAGGTCTCGTCCCAGTCAAGTGGCCCTCGTCTGCCAGTATGTATTCTTTTACTGGCTGTGTCCCGGTTGCGTAAAGCTCCAGAATACTTCCTCGAACTAGTGCCAAACATGCAGGCCATAATTGAGCGGAGCAGTGGGTATAGTGTTGGAAGGCAGGCGCATAAGATGCTGATGGAAGGCTCAATGCTGGACCAGAGGAGGAATTTACCTATGACCCAGGTGTAATCGTAGGAGGTTTTGAGGAAAGTGATGTAATAAATCCGGATCAAGCTTGCAATGCAGACACTGGGATATATGAGCTTGAGTCCCATACATTTGGTCTAGGGGTAACACACATTCCTCCAACCAAAAAGATGCCGGATAATAAAATTTTCTGTGCCCTTCTCATTTGTAGGTTCCATAAAATAGGGATTGGAACCACTAGGATGAACACATCCGTGGCCATATTCACCGCAGCTTGGGTGATAAAGAATGGGTAGATCTTGAACACACATTTTCCTCCACTGGGCTCTGCAAACTGTGTCCAGTAGTACGAAACTGGTCTACAGTAAGATAGAAAGGTGATGTAGCCAGAGAAAAAATATCCCACTGCTAGGAACATGCAGAACCAGATTGGATATGTCATGCCGAAGATACGGCGGTAGAAGAGAAGAATGGATATTTTAACGAGTGGAGTGGTAAGCACGTAGAATAGGATGAAGATGAACAGAATACGCATCATTTCAACGACTTCATCAGGAGGGATACTCCACACATGCTTCCCAAGACCATTGTATCCACTCGCTATCAACAAGTTAGAATTGAGGTCCCTTTACGCCATTTAGGGGTATGTACATACCTTGCACAACCAAAGCGAGACATGCTGTTACAGGCAGCTGTATATATTTGTTAGAAATATAAGTCATTGTCGGAAGATTGCTTCCTTTCTTTTTCTTTTTCTTCTTAATTCGGTGACAACATACCAAGGCCGCCACGATCACCCAATCATCTGCACCTATTTTCACAGTTTGCATTCGAAATCTCGTATAGAATCGCAGCCCAACGGCTATCACCGCAAGCGAATAGGTCGCAATCGCAGGAGCATAGTTCAGTGAGCCATGATAGGCGTTTAAATTCGTCCCAGCTGGAGGCTCCCTAATGGGCTGAGTGACATAGAGAATGAGAAAGAGGCTCACGATGCAAATAAGCCGAGTGTTGGATGAGCTACTTTTCAGCCATTAAATATAATCCCAAATAACCCATGTTAAATTTCAGCGATTTCAAATGCAAGTCTTAAAATGTAAGACCAAAAAAAAAAAAAACGGTCCCAAGACACAATATCAATCCGACCCCCACTTCGACAGATCCTTTGAATGATATCAACCTACGACGTGGACTTTAATCTTCACTAAGAAGGTTTCGGATATAAATCCTACGCTGATCACCTTTAAAATTACTATATCAAGGCTAAAGCTATGGAGACAGTGCCTGAGTTCGGAGAAACTCGTTTGGCCCTCGGTCTTCCGTCTTCTAGGGTGGGTAGTGAGATAAGAAACAAACAAGGGGAAAAAACAAAATCTCCACTGATGAGCAATAATGCCCACCATGCCATCCAACTAGACTGTGGCAACATCCTTAATATCCATGGATATCCACATATCCTCTCCGCAAATTGCGGGTATAGCATGTATATCTGTCACCTAATATCCATAATCCTCTGGATGTAAAATATGTCAAATATGCCTAGCCTCTCAGCGTTCTTGAGTATATATTTTCTACACGGATACGAAAGATCCATAACTGGCGAAAAATAGTCGACTGCAGTGACAGCAATTTAAAGGTGGGAGATATTAGGAACATTCATACCTTTGCGGCTGTGAGATAGATAATCACCTGCTAGCAAGAAGCAATAGAAATTGAACTGAAACGAGTAACATGATGTCTTCTTTGGCTATTGGATAAATATTGACAAGGGGCTTTTTGTGAAATTGAGAGACTTAGTAGGCGAGATGGGCATAGACACTTATCTATTTAACCTCGAGGTATTGCTGGCGAACTGTCCTGTGGGCTCGCGTACCCAGGTTAAGGGGGAATAGGTACGGAGTAGGTGTGGCATGGCCCTAAGGTGCTCCGTACCAGGGTTTAATTTAGTTTTGACTGCGATGGATTGGAAATTAGTTCACCGGGAAGTGTCTTAAACTATAAATTTAATGCCAACTATTACCAGGAAAATCCCCGGAGAAGGCCTAGCTTTTTTTCAACCCCTAAAGTCCGGAAGATCTTCGGAAACAATACATAAATTGTATCTCCCCTTTAGGATACAGGATTACGGTAAATCCATTAATAGTTAGTGTTAGGTACAAGATCGATGGCGCTCCTTCGCCCCCCGTAGGATTTACGAACGTATCTTTAACTTTTGCCAAGCGAAAGATTGCCATGAAAGTATGAGATCGTATATGTTTAATTGGCTCGGGGGTTATAGGTTTAATTGATGCCATAAAGGGAGCCTCAACGGCTATATAATGTTGTGGAAGATCAACAGTCGTAGTGTGTACCTCGGCTGATTTCCTCTTTTGGCTATGGATCTACTCAATCGAGCACGACATAGAGTGAGTTAGCATTATGGAGCCTTCTGACCGCCCCTGAAACTAAAGGATTGTGGACATGCACATCGTGCCCTCATACAGTAAACGGGCCTCAAACCCAAGAGCTCCACTACCATAGCCACGGAGCCCTCCCACTACAAAATGGTATCTTGGTAAATGCCTCAATTAAGAGATTTATAAGAGTCGAAGCCCATATGGTACGAATGGAATACACAAGATTTTACCATTTCAACCTCAACACAACCTTTCCCTTAATAACGTATTTGGTGAGCAAGTGGTCCATATAAGCCAGTGGCCCACCACCACTAATATATTAAAGATAAATGCATATTATATCTCAACCCTAGAGCCATTAAATTAATTCAACTAAATTTATAGGTTCTCTTCCGGACTTCGGACTGCGGACAACCATGTAGTGCGAAGGCCGAAATCTAGGTTATTGACCCAATCGCATCACCCTTGACTTTGGGGCGGCCAAATGTGGTATAACACTGCCACTTTGGCCAAAGTACCTAGTTATATGCCAGAATACTGGGCGCTGCAGCATAAATTACAGTTAAGCGGGAGTCGGCAAGTGGGGTCTTTGGGATCTTTAAAATGTCGTATGATCTAGCCTATAATGTGCAAATGTCAGTTCAGCATCAATTGCAACATCTGGACAAGTCTCAGTATGGATAGACGTAGGGTGCTCGAATCGGCCTTGTCCTACTTATTCTCCTATATCTGAACTCTTACTTATCTAGATCTTGCCCATGTACAAGATACAAATATATCCTGTCTACCGCGTGGCTTATTGACTGACAAAGATGTGTTGTTACCTTATCATACCAGAAACTCCACGTCATTGAAGATGCAATACATTGACGGAAAAATAAGCTAGATAAGTATAGGCTCTACATTGGATCTTTAATGGGAGATTGAGCTTAGATGTGAATGAAATTGTCGTCTCAGAATGTATATAAGGCGTTGAAAAGTGCAAGCAAACTCACTACAAATAATAACGGAAGTTCGGGTTCTCCCAGTCAGTCTCATCCTGATCGAGTGCAATACCGAGCGCAACAACCTCCTCAATTTCACTCTCCTCGCGAGATTCAGGGTCTAATTTTACATTCTGCTGGCGGTCGCGTTGCTGATTTTGAAACTGGAATAGCTGGCGCAAACCAAGAATAGCGACGAAGGCAATAGCCAGTGAAATCATAATCCCGATCCAGGCACTCTGCTCATCGTTAGTTTTTATTCATCAGACACATGGCCAAGTAAGAGCACTCACCCCGTAGTTAGGCATTTCATTGGAGAAGAAGAGGAAGGGACCAGTGATATTACCAGCACAATTGCCAATAAACATCACTGCGGTCACCGTCGTCCTCTTGGTGTATCCGGCCACGTTAGAGGCAATGATACTCAGGATAATAGGAACTCCAGCGGAATATGCAGGGAAAAGCCACATCCCAGCCAATCGAGCTACTTTCTTGGTAGGGTCAATCTGAGAGACCATAAGAGACCCGGCTAGACTGATGAGCGATAAAACAGCAGCGGTAAGGCATCGGGATTTGCGGAATTTTGTAACTATGATCGTGGCCAGAACCACCCAGATGAGGGTAAACACTGACGTGGGTAATCCAACGAGAAGAGTGTTGAAAGTCGAGTATCCAAACCCAGAAATAACAATGCTTCCAAACTGTAGAAGGGGGTGAATAATCAGTAAAGATTTACGAAGTGCGCTCTAGGTATTCTTACGCTTGTGAGACCTCCATTAGGGATACTGGATGTCATGGAGTACACGAAAATAAGCCAGGTTTTCGGGTCGATAAGTGCTTCAACACATTGGCGTTTTGACCATTTGTGTGAGACTGTGGTGTGTGACTCCCGCTGAGCACGTTGGTGGATGAACTCCCCTTCCTCTTTAGAAAGGAACCGGGCGTTGCGAGGGCCATCTGGTAGGTAAAAATAGAACACAATTCCATATGCAAAGGTGACGATGCCGAATATGATAAATATCCACTATACATTATTAGCTTAAACCCAGATTATATTTGGGGATGCAGGGCAAAGTACCCTCCACGGTTCAACTGAATTGCTGATATGGCCGATACCATACGTCAACAGTCCACCAAAAATGGACGAAACACTGTTCCCAGCAAACCAAATTCCATGTCTAGAGGCATGCTCAGACCGTTTATACCAGAGATCAGTGAGCAAGGATAGACCAGGGCTAATTGTGCTTTCAAAAATTCCAAGCAGGACACGAAGGGATATGAGACCGGCAAAGTTGGACGTGGCGCCATGACACGCTAGGACTATAGCCCATATAATGCTATAGGGTTCATTGTGAGCTTCAAATATGAGGTAAAGGAGAGAGAGGCTGGACAACGTACAAGGAAACGGAGAGGAACTTCGCGATTGGAAGTTTGACGAAGCATAAGGATACCGGGTAAGACGCCATCAAGAAACCAAAGTAGAATGCGCTAGAGGCCCATGAATACTCGTCACCAACGAGTTGCTATTTTCTCGCCGTCAGCAGTTAACCGTTGACATGATCAGAAATACGTACTAATGATTTCTGAATCCCGAATATTGCAGTATATCCTAGCGCAGTCTTGTCGAGAAATTGAAGCATGTAGGCAATGAACATGACAGGAAGGATGCTAAATAAAACAAGTTCCATGTCAGTCAAACTCTGCACGACTAATACATAGTAATGGACAAAATCTCATACTGCCAGTCGATTTTGCGCATCAATGCTTTCTCGTTCTGATAATCAAAAAGCTCTGCCGCGTGGGCTTTAAGCACATCCTTGTCCTCTCCCATATCCGGATCTGGCTTATGGTCTTCCATGATGCTTTCCAATTGAAACAAAATTATACGAAAGAAGTAGAGTAGTTATGCAAATGTAATGTACTGCCTAGGGTATCAAGGAACATACATATATATTCAGCAGAGCCTAGACAATCACCATGGGCTCTTATTTAGTAGTACATACTTGGTATTCGAGTGATGTCTATTAAAGTCTATATGATGTACCCTATCCTTGTGTCTAGATAAGGCGTCAGAAGGCGCGATTGCCCCAGCCGGTGACGATGATATCTGCTGGGATTCTGGTTGGTCGTCGGGAAATTACTCTGCATACACGGAGTACTCCGTAATGGAGCCTCGCTTAGAGAGAAAGTGGGGCCAACTATCCCATCTGGGGTTACCCCGGGAAGAAGACCAACCCTGTAGTTCACATATCAAGCTTAGATGATTACCCTGGAGGTCCACTGGTAGATACTATATGCATGTGAAGGTCGAACTATGCCAATTGCATCCCTTTTCCCTATCGCATATCTTTACCACAGCTCAATCATCAACAATCGCTGCTGCCTTCCTCTCTAAAATTTGGTGAAGAAGTCAAGTTGGTTTGGCACACTTAATCATTCGTATTCTGTTTC